AGAGAACATACAGAAACACAGGACGCACTGATGTATTTTGTGCTTCTCTGCCGTTCCTTTTAATATTTTTTCCATTTACATTAAACATACATATACTCTTTAAGAAAGTTACTACACAATTTTCTTGAATTTTCATAGTATGCAGGAAAACTAACATGACCTTATACGCATGGGGGACGAGTTCTCAAATTATGTTACATTTACAAACCCTTTTGAAAATATATTGCCAACTGGCGAAGCATAAAAATATCCAAATTCTCCTTTCAGTTTATAAATGAGATTTTTACTCCAATGCATAATTTTTACTGCTTATCCATTCATCAAATCTGTATGAATAAACCTGGCCATGAACCTGTATAAAAACTACATTTTCATTCAACTGGTCCTGCATTCATATTTATCAACTACAGCAATTATGAATCAAAAGTAGTAATTAAAATTCTGATTTATTAAACAAAAAATCTGATTTATTAGAGCAGGCTGTATTGTTAAACGATAATTATAATTGAATACAAAGAAAAATGAAAATCATTAGAACTTTAACGACACAGAGGTCAAGATAGAGTAAAGCAGTCTGTTCGAACCAGTTAGATTCTCTCCGTGTTAGAATATTAAAATTCTTTAATCAAACAGAAAGCTCATGCCCAAAGGCATCCAAACTTGTATTTCAACTGAGTAAATTGTATATATAAAGTTGATATAACAGTTTTTCAAACAGTCGTATATTTGCCAAATCTTAGCTGTAACGCATTGAATACTTTAACCTTCTGCACTCCGACTTATTTCAGCAAATATATCCCACGCATCTGACTTATTTTTCAAAAATGATATGCCTGTACTAAATAATTAATATCTCAATAACTACTGAATGAATCTGGATAAAATTTTCACAAAGGGAAGATACACTAGCGTGGCTCATGAGAAAAATGTTCTCATGAATTTTTTTCGTACATAAACACGACTGGGCTTGAATATACCATGAATACTCCTCCAAAATCCGCCGTTTCGCCCCTCGGGAGATTCAACGTCTGGTCAGAATCCAAAACTGAATTTGCAGAGATCGAATGTTCTTCTTTTCAGTTCAGAAAATATTCTAGTTTCTATTTTCGATGACCATTATCGGCTTCCAAGAGCCTAAAGAGCTCGAAATCGCAATCCATTTCCTCCACATTTTCTTTGTGATCGTATTTGGCCGTCATTTTGTACGATTTGTTCACTAAAAACGACTTAAACACTGTTGAATTGTTGAATTGAGAAATATTTTTCGAAACATCGCCATTTCTAGGTCAACAGGAAGTCACCTACAAAGGACTGAATAAATCGGGCAATCTAATTGGATCATAAGAACGGCGGGAAAAAGTAAAGTTTTCAAAAGTTAGATTTGTGTCGTCCGGATCCGCCGGTGGATTCTGGGGGTAGTTTTGAATGGGCGGACGCGGTCGCGGTGGTCTGCTAAAGGTTAAAGCCATTTTATGTTATTTAACCATTATACATAACGTGGCACGCTCACTAAGCTTAGCATTAACCCAATGAGATTCAGCTTGAAATCACGTTAAAAAAAATAATATAAAATTTATATTCATTGCACGAAGGCAAAGGTTTACAATAGCTTTTGCTCAGTAGCTTTATGGATATTAAAATCCACTAAAACTCAATCTTAAAGTTTAATTCATAATATAGTAAACTGTTTGAGAACTAAGTTACAAAGCTTAAATTGAGTCGAACACAACTACAGTGTTAGACTTAAGACAGCACAACTTCAACAACCTGAGCACTACTACCAAACCAAGCACAACCTTGAAACCAAGCACAACCTTGAAAAAAACATTCAAAACAAGTTATTGGATTGCAACTTTCAATAACATAAAAGAGAGTTCAAACTACTTTTTGAATAACTTTCAAATACATGTACTACAATACTTGTAATATAAGATGTCACTTCCCTAAAAATTATACTTATATAAAACGAAATAAAACATGTTAATCTTGATATAATATTCAATTTCTCTGGAATAAAATAAATGATTTTTAACAAATCTTCACATTTTTAGTTTATAAATTCAAACGATTCATTCAAACTATCTGAGATTTAGAGTGAAATAAGCATGAGCGTGTGTGGAGAAAACAGGTGATTTTATAGGGATTAGAGTCAATATATGAAATGCTTGGTAATGTTCATTTATTTGGGTGGAGCATGGCTTTCTATTTGATGGGTAAATTCGATAAAATTGATAACGCATGCCTCAGCAACAAATTTACCAATTTATGCTACGTCCCTGATGAAAAACATTTTAGTCTGTTTAATAAAACACTCAATTTTAAACAAGAAATCAATTCCCCTATCGGAAAATTAGAATTTCAAATATAACAGTAAGCAGACTCATGTGTCAAACTATTTTCTTCGTTGATTCTTCCAATGGAATTTAACCATAAAAGAAAACATCACGATTGGGGTTTATTCATACATTAACTGTACATGATGTACAATGTAGGGCTGACCACATGGTTTTCTAAGGATTTATATTAAACAAATATAGAACAGATTTTTTACTCTTGTCTGGTTTCAGCATCATGATTAATGATATCATCTCCTTCTTAGTGATGCTTCTTTACAATATGTGATGAAAACATCAATGAGAACAGCAAAGGGCAACATTTGACATTACACATGTAGATATAAACTAAAATTCAACCATTTAACACCAGATGAGAAAAACAAATTTAAACCTCATTGTTCATGAGAAAACCATTGAGAATACTGAAAATTAAGTACTTTGATTATATGATACAATCCTTATAAAATCAGAGATATTTGGAGAACAGACCCAAATTCATATGATCAAACCCTCCACGGAGGATGGAAAAATAAACAGGAAGTAGCTAAATGATCTCAGCATGGACTGTGATAAACATCAGATTAGAGGCCCTTTCAGAAAATACATCTATTTTCTAATTAAATCTCAAAAAAATCATAAAATCTGTATCCCAATCTTCAAAACTTTTATCAGACATATAAAATATGAATCTGGATGCATTTTCATGATGACAGTTTTGATGTTGTGAGCTTAAAAATTTGATCAGGCTTCAAATAAAAACTGAAGAGTGGAGATTTTTGAAAGGGCACATATGTGAATCTGCCCTCTGCTATCTGTTGAGCTAAAATCTGGCGGGTAAGATCAGATTTCTTCAACATTCATGTATTAATAGATTTAACCCTTTCACTGCAGAACCTAATGACTTGCTCCAATTTATATTAACCCTTTCATCACCAGGATTAGATAACTAGATCTGTCCTGTTTGTGTAACACCAGAGAAGTAACCCTAAGATAAAAATTTCAAGAATATTTGAGAGAGCAGATTGAATTAGCACCTAAATAAAATTGAAGAGGAAAATATCCTAACTATCAACAAATTAACCTACTCAATACTGTCTGAGCATTTCTATATTATATAGAATCTAGCAACTAAAATATCATCCAGTCATGCCTGTTCCTCTCTATTTCTCTGTTAATTTGAATGAAGTGTTTCACTTGTATTTCTATATAATTATGTTCGAAACTTTTAATGCTATTCCTATTTTATTTTGTATTTAAATGACATGGCCACAACTCTAAGCATTTGTAAACCTGTAAATGAATATACCTGAAATTGAAAGGTAACGTTAAATCAGTGTATGCAACCCTGAAAAATAACAAGCTGATTAAACATAATTATTAAATTATTACAAACACATGTTGATCAATGTGAAGTAAATATAAATAAAATGCAAGTTAGGAATTTGAATCTAAAATAGCTGCTTGGGAGGGGAGGGGTTACCGGGGGTTAATTGAAAATCTTGCCCAAACTGGAGTGTGCGGCAACTCTGAATGAAACTTAGACGTGAAGTCTAAGTTCAAAAATATTAAGACTAAAACTCTAATATAAGGCTAAATATGTCCTTTATTTTCAGTTTGTTTTACTGACATAAACAGCCACGTTGAGGCAATAAATATTTTATATAAAATACTCTCAAATATACGTATAACCAAGATAGAAGAGTCGACGGGAAAATGAACAATAAATAGATAAAGAAAATCTGTAAGTCTTAAGTAGCGAAAATGCATGAAATTATAATAAAGAAAAACCTCGATTTGGTACTGTTCAAAATCGGAGCAATTCTATATACACGTGAATCAGACGAATATTCCACTATAAAGAAAACAAGACATTTTTCAATGGACTTTTTCAAATTAACAAAACCATTACCAAATCAAAGTGAATAACCTCACTTGCGTTGCTTAGACGATGGGAGAGGTTATTTATGTTTACAAGGCCCCTAGTTTATATGTACAATGATAGATGGGGCCATGGGTCCTTTGTACTGTACACTATAATTTACAATACTACATTATACAATCATTTTACAGCTTCAATGTTAACATCCTATCTGGTAGGGGATTCACTAAGCCATGTCTCAAAATAAACCCCACAAACCCGATAAGGTACTAACACTGAGTTATTTATACATTATTTCATCGCATAATTCTTTATCTAGTCTGTTTTTCGACTGTATTTCAACCAAGCTTTCCATTCAAGTTGACAACACAGGCTTTATATCTTTAATCACATTCCTTCCTTTAATTATCAACTAAAAAATATGAACTAAAACTTAGGAATATAAGACGTAAATGCATATTGGATGAATCAAAATGAAAGTTGCCAGTTTTTTTTATTTACTATACATATACATGCATTCAAAAATAGAAACACCCAAACTTGCCATCTTATTCATCTCAAATGTATATAACTGGCTTTGACAGTTAAAAACGATGAGTTAATGAAAGTTCAACATGCCTAAAAAGTCACAGCGACCTCAAACTTTTTACAATTGGGAATGAAAAAGCAAGAATAAGTGTGAACGTTGGGATCACACTAACAACACTTTTCCAGTCCATTAGCCGTTATTCTGGATGACTTTTAATTTACCTGAACGTGTCATGTCTTATAAAGCTGTATTTGAACTTATAAAGCTGTATTTGAACTTATAAAGCTGTATTTGAACTTTCATTTGCTCATGTTCAATTTCATCTTCAGTGTTGTGAGCATATACAATGATATCTCATATATGGTTATTGACCAAGTACTTACTGCAACGTCTACTTGTGTATGTTGTGTATGTGTAACTACAGTCCAGCATACGGCCTACAGAATCAGCTCAAATGTGAGCCATTTCTTTGTTCAAACATTTAACTGGCCATACTTTACTGGGATTGTACACCTGACTGTATTATATACACATATACTGAATATGAACACTGTTGGTTGATTTTAAGTTAAAGGTAACTCGCTATGTATAGACAGACTATATACACAGAGAGTGAAATAGCACTATGTTTTAACATGAATGAAATAGCTCGATATATATTTTTACAGTCAGTGATATATGATTCAACCTAGCTAGGCCTAAGAATACCTGCACTATGAACAAGTTACAAATTATCAGCAGCTTTCATACACACACTGCATATCTGCTATTTCTTAATGGGCAGAAAATCTATTTTAAAAATAACTGTTCACATGAAATAAACTTTCCAACGAAGCTCATTCAAAAATGTAGCCTCGAATGAATGAAAGTCAAAACTCGAAAGAAAGCCAAATTATTTTATGTCAAACGTTTGGCAAAAAAACTGGTTATGTTTTGTACATGCTTTGCTTTTGACACAGTGATTAAACACGTACTATGTAAACTGTGGTTTTCGTTGCATCTAAAATTGACTTTATTCTTTTTCAATGTAGGCAAGTATTCATAAGTCTCTCTTGGTTAGCAGACAGTGCAGTCGAGGGTTTAAGCCAAAAATATTACTCAACCTGAGTATATTTACTCAACATTTGATTACATTTACTCAAGTCAAGTACATTCTTCATGATTTATGAACCTAATACGTCCGTTCTGATTCTTAAACCCAAGACGAAAAGGTCATACTTACGAAACCTTGTGGCTGCCTTGGCTCGATTGGTGGAAAGATGGGGGCTACTTGTAACACAGGTAGATTTTTCATTTACATACCATGCATCAATACGCAAGGCAGAGTTCAGTTTCTCAGTTCTGAGGTAAAATCGGATAAGACATAATCCATATTCACTGTGTAGGTAGTTCAGGTAAAATATCCACCATCTTTTTATAGGAAAATGAATATCCATATCCGATATCAAAAGTTGTACATCCTTTTCAGTAAACTACATATCCATTTTTATGTCGTTTATCCAATTTTAAGAGATATATATCCTTGATTAATCCAAAGTTGCTCATAATATCCACAGTTCAGGGTAGGGTCTATTAAATGTACTGGAGTGTACCGCCTTTTCTTCCAGTAATCCTGGTCGGTACCCACTATCTGATGATGTCATCGTATACAAGAGATATAATCCATTTTTTGAAGTATTCCTAATTTAATCGAAAAGTTGTTCATAATCCAAATCTGAATTCATGTGATTCGGGGAGATTTTGAGAATCTACGAGACGTCTTGAAGTTGAATTTTTTTTTGGTCTACTTATGGTACTGTACTGTTAAGCTCTGCGAGTTCTATCTCACTGCAAATTGTTCTATACAAGATATACAAGTTAAAATACTTACAATTTTCAATCATGTGTTACATTTACGAATATCCTTTCATCACATGTGTATGTAATGTTATCCAATTGAACACATTGATATATATATATACCTACTTTATAGTTTAGATCTTCACTATGGTTGTATTATAATCACTGGCTTCATGCACTCGAGGATTCTGACTCCAGCAAAAATCTTTGAGTTAGTGGTGTCGTCTTCTTTGTGCACCGGCAGCCTTGCTTGTTACAATTATAGCATGCCGTACAGCCAGACACGCAGCCGCGTAGTGGCCAATAGCAGCATAGACAGGGCAAGCCAAGTGACATGATCGCCATTAAGGACCATCGCTTACAGCAACTAGGTCGACTATAGCACGCACATGGAGCATCAGACGAATGAACGTCCTCGTCTCGATCATATTCACTACAACAGTGATATAAACAACATTCTACAGCGCAAAGGCAGCTAACATAGTTTACAAGTCTGTCTGCGCTACACAGGCACTTTTTATTAAATAACCATCTTTCCGGCAACTTCCTGTGTTTTGTACATTGCTCGCATTTACACTTGCCACATTTTCGACAAATGACACTCTCTTCGAGTTCATGCTCCTGCTGCTCCACTGAGTCCTTTTCTATGACGTTAGGATCTTTAGGCGATCCGATTGATCCAACTGAAGAAGGTGGTTGTGTCCTAATAGGACTACTGGGACTTCTAATATTGTTACTAGTAGTAAATGGCCCATATCTCGTATTTTTTGAAATAGGTAGTTTAGTGTTGTCAATATCTACATATTCATTTGGCCGTGATCGAAGTGGGAGGGGTTGATTAATCCCGCGAACCTGTTGCATTGTGGGTGGGGTTCGCTGTGGGGAGGGGGGAAGTGCCGATCCCTGTGTTTCTGATCTCTCCGACGTGATGGCGTAACGTGCAGCTGCATTGTAATTAATCCAGCCTGGTATCGAACTTTTATTTGCTTTCCCATCCTCCATTGGGAATTACCTTCTGGAATAAGAATATATAAATTTTATGAAACATGTACAAAAACACATGTAAATACTTAAATTATATGAAAATAAACCTGTAAAGTGGACAACCTCTAGAAGTAGAATACCTCTGTTAGTGGAACACTTTTCAGAGTCCTAAAACCAGCTGACTAAAGTTACATGAGCCTTTATCAATAGAACTACTCAAAAGTAAAACACTTTTAAGAGGTAACAAAGGAGTTAGACAACTTAGACAAATTTTACTATACTCTACATTTAATCAAAATATTCATATAAGAGTTGGCACTGAGGAGCTCCAGATTTTTATATAACAAATGTATACAAATGGATCAAACTCTAATTTAATTTCTCTTTTCCGTTACTATGACAAACATTCCATTTATATTATGGCCTGGGTGTACAAATAAAAAAAATAAGTAAAAAATGTTAAATAACTTTACCACAGGGTTTTTCTCAGCGGGGTTCAAATTTGTAATTTTACCAATTGTGAATATGAGAAAAGTAAAAGACCTCCCAATTTTTAATAATATTTCAAAATCTCGACTGGCGATATAACCTTTCCCAACCTGGGTAATAGGTATAGTATAGATATCTCAATACTGAGCAGCGGAGCAAACACTTAATAAACAGTTCTTCAATTTTGCCTTACCAACTTTAAATTTGTTAAAGGCCAAGCAAACAAAATAACATACCAACATTAGAAACCTACTTATTAATAAGATAGGTCTACTTGTTTGTAATTTTAATGATGTTCTGTATTGAGAAACATTTGGGATCGAGGGTTGCGCTCTCATCTGACACATGCCAGGATGAAACATATTTAAGGCAATATGGTACATCTTGTATATGTGTACATTCGCACTAAATACTGATAAAGCATGTTCAAAGCTTCACTAAATTACTGATAAAGCATGGTCAATTCATTCACAAGAAAACAACTTTAAATAACTATAAATCTGAGAGTGGAGAACTATATGTTGTTTTTTAACCTGGGAATATGGTGACAACTGGATACCTCAGCTGTCATTGAAAATACATACTTGCCAAGAGAAAAACGTTGTCCAAATTAATATATGATACACATGGTTACTGCATATATTAATTTATTCATTATCATGATCAAGATTTAAATAACATGATTGTAATTACATTATATACTTGCAGTCTTGGCCTACAGGTAGAATATGAAATCAAAATGTCTTGATTGATTTATTTTTTTAAAAATCTTTCGTAACATATTATGTAAAAGTCAAGTCTTGATTGCTCGATACAAGAAACACAACTGAATTACAATATAACATGAATGAATACTTTAATGCCAGTTTATATTTACTATATTTAGACTTCTGATTTTTTAAACCCAATATTGTGGTCAAAAGTTTTAGAAGTAATCAAATCAAATTAGTTGAACTCTTAGGAAAAGATAAGTTTGTCTCAAAAGGTTATAAACAATTCTATTAACACAGGAAGTTGTATTAAGTCCTTTTTGGGCCCTAACGGCCTTCTGCCCTCCCCCAATCTCACACAACAGACGAATCTATAAGGATACCAACAAACATGTAGACCTGAAAAAAAAATGAAATCAAAACAAAGTTTTTTACAAGATCCTTGTTCAAAAAGCCCCCAAACTCGCTCAATATGGAGTAAAAATACTTCTCAATTGAAAAGAAACAAAAAAAGCACGAGCTGACAGATGCTTAATGACGATATAAGCCCTGCAAAACATCTACCCATCGAAACTCGACGAAATGGAATGAAATGAAAAATTCAAATATTTACCGACTCTGTAGCTCCCTTCCTGCTGTAATGTTGCTTTTCAAATTTCCTCTTCTTTTACCTTTTACGTATTTGACTAGAAATACTGTTATGATTTACCAATATATATTGAAAATCATGCCGTATTGATAGTTATTTAAAATTTGAATTTTTTGAGAAACTTTTCTTTCAGCGCCCATGACACGTTTACGGATCTAATAATCTTTTGCGATTGGATTGGCCAGCCTAAAAGTAGGTCATGATCATTTTTACAATTAAACCGTATTTGAGCATTGAATAACATAAATCAAACCAAGGTAATTCTTAAATGTAATTTTAGGAGACAGAAATTATTATTTTATTAATACATTACTTGTTTAATTTGATCATGAAATTTTTTTTGGGTGTCCATCGGCCATATTGGCATTTCCGAAAAGTTTGAAAAATAAAGTCTAGAAAGATTTGAGATTTTAAAGGTATGTACGCTAAATCAGCTAAGTATTTGCAAAAATATACAAAGCTTATAGTATAAGGTTTATCAGATTTAACATTTTTTGTAGTACCTTGTGTCATTGAAGAGTTACAGAGTCGGTAAATATTTGAATTTTTCATTTCATTCCATTTCGTCGAGTTTTGATGGGTAGATGTTTTGCAGGGCTTATATCGTCATTAAGCATCTGTCAGCTCGTGCTTTTTTTGTTTCTTTTCAATTGAGAAGTATTTTTACTCCATATTGAGCGAGTTTGGGGGCTTTTTGAACAAGGATCTTGTAAAAAACTTTGTTTTGATTTCATTTTTTTTTCAGGTCTAGATGTTTGTTGGCATCCTTATAGATTCGTCTGTTGTGTGAGATTGGGGGAGGGCAGAAGGCCGTTAGGGCCCAAAAAGGACTTAATACAACTTCCTGTGTCTATTAACATTTCCAAAAGTCATTAGTTTCAAGGAGGATGTAATTTCAACAGAATCATCTAAGGATGTTCATCACTTCCTTCCCCCACATACACTGACCTTCCACCCCTCCCTAATTCAAGCCTCTGAAAGTTGTAAAACATGAAAATGTGGACCTGAAAACACTTGTGGAGTATGATTACGAGTCGTAAATATAGCTCGAATTGAACTCCTTATAAACTCTTAAATATCATAAACATAATCAGAATTTGTCAATTTACCTTTTGGTCTGAAGAGCTGTAAACCAAAGAAACGATAAAGAGACATATTTGACCACAGAAACCTTGATCATAAGTGCAGTGCACGTTGGGTTCTAAAAATTCGGGAAGCCATGTTGATTCGGTTTTATGAATGAGCTTCACTCCGCTTCAAAGTTCACCTCGTTTAAGCTATTTCAACCAGATAAAAAACTATAAAACTTACCTCTAAACCATATTATACATTTAATCCTACTTTTTAGGTATAATACACCTCTGTAACTGTTAATACGATGGTTTACCTGCGACTAATACGAACAACCATCTACAAAATCCTGCATATGCCTTATATGGCGGTTATCTTTGCTGACCTCCTTGGGGACTTCCGGACGAGTTCATTTTTTTAGGGGAGTCGATTGAAAAAATGTTCGGGTTTTATATACATAAAGGTGAAATATATATGAATTATATTATAACAATGTTACATTTAGCTTTTTTATGGACAATTACGGTTTAAATTAAATTTTAACACCGGCCACAGGTCAGAATGACCTGGCAGTGATGTAGTGATATTGAAACTGGAACCTCGATTAATTCTCTGTTCATATACTTCCCAATCAAAATTAAACTTCTTTATGCATGTGTGGATGCATTGCGTTTCCATTGCGTTCATGAGTGACACAAAAATATTTCAACTGAGAACTTGTATTTTAATTCGAAAATTTTATTTTCCTTATGAGATTTGTAACATCAAAAAGTGCAAAAAGTAGCCCTCTTTACTTCAACTAGTCTAATTAAATTACTAAATCAGCCAAATGATGCAGTTTTAATATGTTAGAATGTACAGAAAGGTTACAGCCACTGAACAATTAAAAAAAAATTACCAAAACTGCACATATCAGATCATGAAAGTATCACAATGTTATATAACTTATAACATATCTTTTTACAAGGGTAAATACTCCATTGAGCTGGAATTCAAATTAAATTGTTTATAGCAGCGACATCTTTAAAATAAAATTAAAATCAAAGTAACAAGTCAAAAAGTTTATTTTAAAAGTATATTTTGAGTTTATTTCAAGATAATCTTGCAATTTTTGAGGTTATCCGCTAAAAAATTGAAATGAATTTTTGACATTTTTGCATTTTCAACAACTTCTATGTTTGATTAGATATCTCAATCTTTTAAAAAAGTAAAATTTGGATTTTGAGGGAACTTTGGCATGCTTTTTGCAAAGATTGCTACCAATATTTTCTATTCTCTTTAGGTCCTTTTAACAAACTGCAATCGATCAGACATGAGTTTATATATGTACTTCAGTTATAGATTTATATTCAGATCACAACTATCTATGAACGTGAAATGCTTTGCTTGTGTGTCTTACTATGTTGTAACTGGTAACTAATGCCAACTGATGTAACTAGCAGAGGTTGCCAAGGAAACCAAGGTAACATACAAGACTTAGTTTGGTGTGCGTAGGCTGTTGGCAAAATCTAAATGGAAAACTTAACATAAGTCAGTAAAATCCATGGAGTCCCTATCACTATGCTTTGCACTTAATTATTTGGGTAATATTGGTGTTGTTTTTCAGTTCTGTATGGAGTTAACTAAATATTTCACCATGGATTTACAACAAAAGTCTCTGCTTTCATAATACATCTATAGTTTATGATTTTTAGTTTTTCTGCTTGTTTTAGCGAGTCTATTATGTATTTCTTCTTGGGGCAGTAAAGTCTAAGAAAATGCCAAAATGTAAAACAATACTATTCTCTACAGTTCATATATACAGGGTGTGCCCAAAACATCCACATTTTTAATTTCAAAAACATTTTTTAATAGAATTGTTCCCAAAATTGCAAAAATGTCTCTTATGGGGTATTTTGGCAATAAAGGTTAAAATACACTAGGGCTGTAAATGCAAAGTTCCAGTGATATGGTAATACTTGACATCACAATTTTTAAATTACGGTAATTTTGTTTTGTCCCAAATGTTGCATCTTTTTTGACAGACTTTTAAAAGGTTAGTCTATTTGAGGCAGCATTTAAGTTATTTTCTAATTCTATCCTGTTACTGTAAAGGAGTGGTGCCGATAAGGAGAACTGAATTCAACAATGTTTTTCTCTTAAACGAATCATTGAAAACATTCTGTAAAAAAAACACGGTATTTTATGTAATGTTGAGTGATTGACAACAATTTAATGCGAAAATTATTTAGAAATATTTTATATAACTGTTTTTGTTAACATTTTTTTTTTTTAGTGCAATTGTTTTTGCTCCTTTCTACCAATTCTTGAGAATGAAATAAAATATCTTTCCAAACCTTGTTGGAACAAAATAGCATATACAACATGTTTTTAAAACAAAATCCCCCCAAAATAGATCTCCATATTGATACCACTCCTTTGCATTTACACATGACAGGCATTCCCATCATATTATGATTGAAACTAAACAAACAATTGTATAATTTTGCAACTTTGTAAACAATTGTATACAACAGCCTCTCAAATAATATAAGAATAATTTTTTGATTAGAATTTGTCCTCCATTGTTTAGAAATTATTTGCAAGGGATAACCATCTAGGTATTCTTTAGAAACTAAAGATGGGGCTGTTGTCACTGATGTAGACATTTGTAGAACTTACATAAATCGCCACATGTATTGGTCACTTTTTATGTCTCTGGCACGAAAGATTTGCCAGATAGATGGGTCCGTTTTTCCTGGCAAGATGAAGGAGGATGGCCCATAGCCAGCTTTTGCCAAGGGGAGGGGGTGTTCACAATAAAGAACCCAGAAACTCAAACTATGATTTCAAATCTATTTAGAAATGATTTAATCATGATAGAATTATTGGATGATAAGATTATCTATCAAAAACAATTTTCAAATGGGATTATCACTTGATCATTTCCTTTCAGATTTATATGCAACTTCTCTGCCAATTAGCTGATGTTAAATATGGTTTCAAAATCTTTTGAACTCCCCTTGATTAACCTATAAATCCATTGATGCTAAATCATTGATATTACTCCTTGATACTTGACTCAAAATCTGATCTGATGGGTACTTTATTTTGACATTTGTACATGAATGATAATCACCAAAAGATAAGCTTCATCTACAACTAACAATGAGACACAAACATTTCTTTTCCCAAAATATTTATTCATAAATACCATTTACCATTATCATTCATTATTTTTTAATACAGTATAACAATTAGTACCATACAAAGACATTGCAACCTCATAAATTGTCATGTATGTAGAAATTCACATCATCGGGGGGTCATCCCAAAATTATAGCAGATCTTTCTATACCAAGCCTATTTAAGAAATCTGCACAAAGGTGGGAAGGGAACATCTCAGAAATGATTAACAAAAGGTTGAACCTCTGCAAGATGTTTGAATAAAAAAAATATACAATTTACCTAGAAAAACCTGCCACATTTTGAGAAGACCCCTTGTACAAGGTATGAACAAGTTGCTGTTTTTTGTACATGACACACTAAACAACAAAACATCAGAATTATGTTTTATTTTCAGTAAAAAGTCCAAGAAAGGGGAACTATGCCTGTAACAGTCTTTAAGGAGAATCTAAACATAGATGGACGGCCAATCAATTCACATCATTTTTAAAATGAACTTTGCAAATACATGTAAAATCAATATGTAATATCATATTCCGATTTTAAGATAAATACAGTCAATACGATAACGTTTAGAAAAGTAACCACTGACGAGCATAATCAAGTCAAGCTGTTTCGCAAACAATTTTTACATGCACAATAATTTGTCATTTTTTCATGTACATTTTCATTATACCTTCATAAACAAATAATATTGCGTATAATTATTTTTTTATGAATATTTATAAATACATAAACATTATTCATTCATGATGAATACAATTTTATTCTTGTTTCATGAAGATTCCTTTATGAACAAAATCATTATTCATCTCATAGAATATTTAACAAAATCTTCATTATTCTACTTTGGCAATGTATTTTGTTGAGCTATCTGTAGTCAACAAGTAGAGACAAAATGTCAAACAACAATGTCAGAGGAAACTTCCTCAATCATTGAAATATTTCACATTCAAAAGTCCTCAAGCAATTTGCACAGGTAGAGATAAATACCTGCTTAATGCCGTGTTCACATTTGCTCCGATTTTCAGTAGCATCGCCCGTTTGATTAGTATTTTGTTCAAAACTGAATGCAATTTTGAACAAAATACTCATCGCTGGGGCACCAGTTCTGAAAATTGGAGCAATTGTGACCACAACATTACAGAGACCATGGATTTGACCTTTTAACATATTCAACCTTGCGCCAAAATCCTCTGGTCCCCCATTTGCAAATCAGTTCAACATTTGAGTTTCGGGGGAAGGGGCGCTGCTGCAGGAATCCATGAAAGAAAAGATACATCATTTTTATCATTTTCCAAATTTTTCCAGAAATTCAACCTTTGTAAAGGGTCCATACATTCTAAATGGACTACAAATTCATTGATGTCCATGCATTCCAACACGCCCATGCATTCTTTTATGTGGACCTTACGTCTAAACAGGACCACATATAACTCAATATGTTATAAAATTTCAAATAATTTTTTCATTTCTTTAATGAGTACCCAGTCTGTTTTAAGCATATCTTCCCTGAAGTAATCCTTCACTGCGTCTATAGATTCTCGGCTGATCTGAAACAGAAAAACATATGGTTACCCTGTGTTAAATGGAACTACCCTCTGATAAAGATTGACGATTTCAAAGTCTGGCATACAATTGGAAAGCACAGCAGAACAATGCTTATTTTATTTCTCATAAAATGGGTGCAGAAGCCTGTTTTTAGATTGAATAGAGCCATGGGATAAATTCATACATTTAATAGATAAAATTAAATAATTAAAATTTACCAATTAAAAATATAAATCAATGAGTTGATCATGTGTTTCATGATTTCTCTCTTTGCAATTCTATTAAAAATAGATGTCTTGAAAAAATGTTCAAAAAGCACTCACTTTGCTCACGAGTAGATCGGTTTCATCAAAGTGTCGTCCGAACATTTGTGGAGTGCCGCCTCCTGTGTTCTCTATTTTAATACACACCTCTTGCCCTTTCCTGGCGATATCTATTGGCTTATTGTTTAGTTCTATACTAGAGATACGTCCCAAAGTTGTGAACTGAATAAAATAAGTCAAAACACATTATTCCAGAGATTATGAAACAAGAAATGCTTGCTTGATCATATTTAACTACTCTTTACCCCCTGAGAGTTTCTTTTTTGTGACAGTTAAAATATCTACCGGCATGTACATTCTTTCTTTCTAAAAATTCTTTCAACATCATGCACTTTTTCACTATTTAAAACACTTTTCAAGTGCTTTTGGGCCAAAATTTCACAATTTGTAACTTCCCCTGGATTTTTTAAAAACTTACCCCCACCTGCATTCACAAAATCTGGCTACAGGTTTCACTTACCTCCCTACTAGGGACACACAGAGGGGTCCCAATCTTTATAAAGCCTGCCTCGATAGATATGCCACACACAATCGGGTCCCTGGAGTTAAATATAAATTGAGGAAGCACACGGAGCTTGCATGGAAAAACAGCGACATATTTCAACTCTTCCCTCTTTTTGTTTTTCAGTTCCTCTCGGAACGCCATGAATTTATCAAACAAGTGGTATATAATGTCAGCGGTGAATATTTTCACTCCGAGATTGTCCGCCATTTCTTGAGCTTCTCTTTCTACTTTGATGTCAAATGCCAAGATGACAGCATATCTGAAAAATGAAAATAATGTTGCATTTTTTTTATTTCATTTAAAAAAGGGACAATTGTAAATCTCATACATGGAATGGAAAATTGTAGTGTCTTCGTGACATCAGTAAATCAGTTTCAGTCGTGAACAAGTAACTCTTTCATTTTCTGTATGAAATCTAGCATGCATTGTAATACAATACTTCTAGTAGAAGACTGGGCCCTTATTTGGAATCCATTTTACTGGAAATGAATTTATTTAAATCACCAACCATAGCCCCTCTCCAAACTTTGTATTTATGAAAGAAATATTTAAGTTTTGTTTATTCATTCTTTACAAGTGTGTTTTATCTATTTACTGTGCATCATGACAAGAAAGATAGCACTTTACTTATTGACTGTGAAACATGACAAGAAAAAACACTTTATCTACTTACTGTGTATCATGCTCAAGCATTACAGATGCCTTCATGACATCCTTCTTGTGAATTGGCCCTATATTAATGCCTGCATAGGGTATCTTTGAAGTACGCAAGAACTCTAGAAGGGCCTCTAATGAGCCAAGTGTTGATGCTTGCACAAACACACCACGATCTGTCGTCTTGATTGACTTCAAAATGTCTTCTAACATGACATCAAGTTCTTCCTAAAACATATATAAATTGACATCATTGTTTATTTTTCAGATTGTTTATTTTCATAGTTTAAAGGTCCTGTCTCAATCCTGCTAAATGAAGTACACTTTGTTGATACAACATTAACATTTTCATAAGGAATTTTGAAATCCAAGAGAACATTACATCTGCATCATCAGATATATTTTCGATTAAAAAACGCCTTTGCTTTCAAGAATAAAATCTCCAACAAAATGGTGTAACCACCAAACACCATCAACAAACATGATTTATCGACCAATCAACCGCCCGCCTGCCCACCAAGGTGCAATAAAAAGTTGGAGACTATACACAAAAACCATATGCTTAAAGCTTATTACATATTCACATTTGATATCTTACCTTAAATATTTCTATTTCATCGGGGAAATGAGCAACATGTAAAGGCAATCCTGCTACTGCTTTCTCAAGATCTTTGGCTATAATTTTCACACCCTGAGCTGCTGTAACATCTTTATGATGTTCATACTGGTTCTGGAATATAACATTGAAATGCTGTACAGTGCATCCAATCATCTTTATGATGTTCATACTGGTTCTGGAATATAACATTGAAATGCTGTACAGTGCATCCAATCATCTTTATGATGTTCATACTGGTTCTGGAATATAACATTGAAATGCTGTACAGTGCATCCAATCATCTTTATGATGTTCATACTGGTTCTGGAATATAACATTGAAATGCTGTACAATGCATCCAATCAACTTTATGATGTTCATACTGGTTCTGGAATATAACATTAAAATGCTGTACAGTGCATCCAATCAACTTTATGATGTTCATACTGGTTCTGGAATATAACATTAAAATGCTGTACAGTGCATCCAATCAACTTTATGATGTTCATACTGGTTCTGGAATATAACATTGAAATGCTGTACAGTGATCCAATCATCTTTATGATGTTCATACTGGTTCTGGAATATAACATTGAAATGCTGTACAGTGCATCCAATCATCTTTATGATGTTCATACTGGTTCTGGAATATAACATTGAAATGCTGTACAGTGCATCCAATCATCTTTATGATGTTCATACTGGTTCTGGAATATAACATTGAAATGCTGTACAGTGCATCCAATCATCTTTATGATGTTCATACTGGTTCTGGAATATAACATTGAAATGCTGTACAGTGCATCCAATCATCTTTATGATGTTCATACTGGTTCTGGAATATAACATTGAAATGCTGTACAGTGCATCCAATCATCTTTATGATGTTCATACTGGTTCTGGAATATAACATTGAAATGCTGTACAGTGCATCCAATCATCTTTATGATGTTCATACTGGTTCTGGAATATAACATTGAAATGGTGTACAGTGCATCCAATAAGTTTACCCTTTCCCGATGTGAATATAAAAGGAAAATGTTGGCCTGGTGACGGATAAGTAAGAGCGGTTTTTAGGTAAAAACTGGAAATGATGTATACCCCAGAACCTATACTTTAAATTTCATCACTAAAATATAATTTTTAATAAGCATTATCACATGTTAACATCTTGTCAAAATTTGGTGTAAAAATACAGAATAGAACTGGAGATATTGCCATTTCATAGATGTATGTAAATAAAAAAATAGTGGTGCCAAAAGGAGCCTATCGCCCTGAAAGGTATTACGTAATAGGGCTCCATATGGAGCCTATCATTGTGAAAGGGTTGAAGGCTGGGCTTATATAATCAATTTGAGCCTATTTATGATGCAATCCTTTGTGTAAAATGTAAAGTAATTTAACCTGATTAATCATTACAATCAAAGGAAAATTAAGATATTTGGAAATGGGTAGAATAAAAACAAAGGTCTTATATTTGTTATAAATAACAGAATCAAGGTCTTTTTTGGAGATACTGTAAATGTAAATATGATAAACGAACTAATAGAAACAGCTATTTTTATTTGGAGATCTATTATCAACCAGAACAACGGCAACGCCAAAGCGTAGCGAATCCCATCGAACAGAAATGGCTGGCATTTTTACAAACGAAATGTATAGCAAATATCATAAAAACACACCAGAAAGGCCACCATTTTCAAAATGGTTGCTCACTAGCCAAGTTGTCATCAGAAGAAATAATATGCTTTTAAGTAGCCACCTATAAAAATAATACCTATAAAATAACACACATAAAAATGGTGGCCATTTTTCAAAATGGCCGACTACTCCCCAAAGTTTTATTAGACAATGTGCCATGCTTAGAGTATTCACATATCAAATATGAACAAAATCGCTCCACTACTTTTCGAGTTATAGTAAAAAATGTAAAAATGGTGGCCATTTTTCAAAATGGCCGCCTACTACCTAAAGTGTCAATAGACAGTGTGTCATGCTTTTAGTATTCACATACCAAATATAAACAAAATCGCTCCACTACTTTTCGAGTTATAGTAAAATACAGGGGGGGAGATTTCCCAAAGATGCCCTATCATATTAGCACGTTCGAAAACAAATTTTATAAACAGGCCTCAATTTTCCGTTGAAATGGATCTCCAAATGTTCACTGTAGTTTTATGAGTATTTTCTACAAGTATGGATCGAGTAACTTCAATAGTATTACCGTAGGTTTGAAATGACGATGTTGAACTGATGTAAACGCCATTCTCACGATTTAAAATTTAACTCTGCGCATGCGCAGCACTGAGAGAGCATGTGCCCATGATTGTTCACGTGATCGAATCCTGCAATTTGATTGGAGATGATGCAAGAGATGATGTAATGGGGAATCCCCGAATACGATAGAATATGAAAGAATTATGGGAGCTACTCACTCCTCCTGAGTAAAATACGTTAAAAAGGCGGCCATTTTTCAAAATGGCCACCTTCTACCAAAAGTGTCATAGGACAGTGTGCCATGCTTATAGTATTCACATACCAAATATGAACAAAATCGCTCCACTACTTTTCGAGTTATAGTAAAATACATTAAAATGGCGGCCATTTTTCAAATTTTTTTTCAAAATGGCCGCCTTGTACCAAAAGTGTCATAGGACAGTGTGCCATGCTTATAGTATTCACATACCAAATATGAACAAAATCGCTCCACTACTTTTCGAGTTATAGTAAAATATGTTAAAATGGCGGCCATTTTTCAAAATGGCCACCTTCTACCAAAAGTGTCTTTAGACAGTGTGCAATGTTTATAGTATTCACATACCAAATATGAACAAAATCGCTCCACTACTTTTCCAGTTACAGCAAAAATCGTAAAATAACGAGTAAAGGCCGCCATTTTTCAAGATGGCTGCCATGTGCTTTTTTAATATCTACATTTGTAGCTTTATTAATGTCCTTTATAATTTTTTTACACTAAAAACATATTGCTATTACAGTTTTACATATTGCACCTAAATTACTGTAAAATCGGCACTAAAATGGCCGCCATTTTGAAATGAGCGGCCATTTTGAAAATCGGCTTTCGAGCAGAACTTCTACCCCCATAGGGTATATGTGTACAAAATATGAACAAAATCGGGCCAACGGTATTTGAGTTATTGCCCGGACGTACGGACGGACGTACGTACGGACGGACGGAGGCGTTCCCTATATCCCTCCGAACTTCGTTCGATGGGATAATTAAATAGTCTCACATACTCATTTATAGAGCTCTGATTCAATTCTTTTTACTGTGACATCATATGTCCTATAAATTATGAGTTAAATGAATTGATCAGCTTTTAGTTTTGTTAAATTGATTGACTGAAATCATCTCTTACTTCAAAATAGTGTTAATTTTAAATGAATGATACCTTGACTCTCAGTTCCTTCATTGCAGGGGGAAGTAAGCATCCTCTTATTGACGTCACAATAGGTCCCTGGGTGCCAGCTACCACGATGGTGTCACCTTCTCGTATATTGCCATTTACAAGAATTACGTCTAATGTTGTACCCAGTCCAGAGATTTCCTTAACCTGTAACGAATAAAAATATTCTATAAGGTATGTCATACAATTCTAAACAAGGCATTAACATGACAAAATGTCACCAGCTGCCAATGGTTAAGAAGTTGTAAGAATTTGTTACAGACATTGACCACCGAACATTCACCACAAAGAAGTTGGAGACTATAAAAATAGGTCATTCTGGTTATTGTAATGAAGTTTTATCACCAACTAAGTGAGAACAATCATGTAGCATTTCTTGCCATTTGTGTCATAACATTTTCAAAATATACAGGTTATACTACAAGTTATTGAAATAGAATTTACCACCATCTAAAAGAAAAAAATTGTGTAAAATTCATTGCTATTCGTGTCATAACATTTTCAATTATACAGATCATTAAAATTAAATTTATAACTATCTTGAAAACAATTGTGTACCATTTATTGCAAAACATTGCCTTACCTCCATTACTGTGGCTTGAAGTTCCTCAGAATATGACAGTTTCTTTGCAAGCATCGATTGACAAAGTTCACAGATTAACGCAACTAGATTGCCCATTCCATCACCAGAGTGCGCTGATGTTGGCACCATCGACACAAACTCTCTCGGGTTTTTGTTATCGTAAAATAATGTCGCATTCAGACTCTAGAAATAAAACAGTCTTTAGATAACAAAACTATTTTCTTCTTTTCACAACCTTTTTTTAACTTCATAGGACATGTTTAAGAAAGTCTTTATATGGACATTGTAGAAGGTAATTTCAAACATTCTGATTAAATCATTGGACAAGTATAGAATATAGACAGACAAACTGTTTTGGTATCAATGTTCATTCTCAAAAATATAGATCAACAAGAACTTAACATGTAAAAAATCACACCACCTGAAAATCTTTACAGATACTAAACACCAACCACCAAACACCAACTGTCAAACACCAACCATCGACTGCCATCCCAAAAAGTGGCTGTGTGGTGGTGACATCAAAAGGTTAAATAGAGCTATCTTTCACTCTCATGATAAATTTCCCTTTAATATTTTTTATTAGCTTGCCATACCTGCTCTGCAAATTGTACAACAACTTCTGCCACTCTCTCTTCAAATTCATCCCTGGTGTTTTTCCCTTGTTTCTTGATGCAGTTTTGAACATCAGAATGTGGGTTAGGCTTCCATCCATACAACCTGTCAATCTACAATAATAAACATACAGCGGTGAGTAGAAGGGGTCTTCATTGTCAACATGTGTCTTGATGTTTCAAAACGTACGGCCACTACAGGATTTAGCTCTATTGGAGATGCTGGTTTACAACCAAGTTTCCTAGACTTTGACGTGATGTTTTTTTCTGCAGTTGTCATATGTGAACCATATATTAAAATTATGTTGAATAAAATGTAGATGTAATGTTATGATGTTCTTACCTTGTTAAGGGCTACTATGAAAGGAGTTTTCCGTGATTTTAGTAGTCCTATAGATTCAATAGTCTGAGGTTCAATGCCATGCATAATATCTACTACGAGGATAGCAATGTCGCACAATCCAGATCCACGTGTCCGCAAGTTGCTGCAACAGAAATAAATTTTAAATCAGAAATTTTCTACTGGATAGCAATGTCGAACAATTCAGATCCACGTGTCCGTAAGTTAGTGTAACAAAAATAGCAAGTTTAAATCAGATATATACTACCAGGATAGCAATGTTGCATAAATCAGATGACTTGGGATTGTTGCAACAGAATGAGCGACAGTTTAATGTCAACGATATCTACTACCAGGAAAGCAATGTTACACAAATCAGATGACTTGGGATGGTTACAATAAAATGAGCAATAGTTTAATGTCAACGTTATCTACTACCAGGATAGCAATGTCGAGCAATCCATGTTCATTTCTTGGAGGATTACTACAACATAATTAGCAACAGAAACAAGTTCTGCAAGGATTGCAGTGTTGCACAAACAAGCAGTTCATTCAATATGAAACTTGTCATACTGCTTATAAGGTCATTAGGCGAGAAATTTCTTTTGGGTGTGTTAGTCACATATCATTATGAATTCAAATTCTTTAGGGTTTATTGCTTTTCTCCCTTTAATATTTCTGTTTCCAAGATATTCTCATTTTATGCCTTTATGCTTACCTGAAAGACTCGTGGCCTGGTGTGTCAATTATAAGCAAACCTGGTATTTTCAGATCTTTTTTGGCAAACTAAAAGCAAAGGTAATATTTTCTTTATTCATAAAATAGGGCTGAAATAAATCAAATTCTGTACAGCTAATAAATTTATTCCTATAACATTAAGGGGGCTAATCCCTATTTTTCAAAAAAAATTATATGAAGTAAATGATAAGAGGGGAGGTTCATCTTTACATAGAGACATGATCATCTATGAATTCTGGGAAATTTCCTCTTGTTCATAATAACACTTTTGTGATTAATGAAGCATGCCACATTCATTATACATGGCAAATTTAATAGTAAAAACCTTCTGAATTATTCAAATAACTTATCTTTAAAGCCTCATGTAAAACATACCTCTTTACACATGGATGTTTTCTCCTTGATTGCAGATGCGGGACAATTTGTTGCTCCTATCTGCTGTGTGATACCACCCGCTTCTCCATCTTGAACATTTGTACGTCGTAGCTGGAACACAAAACAATTGTGTTATGTTTAAGTTATCTCATGTTTTTGCATAGACTAAGTTACTTGGGACACAATTTACAAACACATTCATTTAAAAATATAATCACTGCCAAGTATTATAGATCACTCTCTGACTCTCCAAATCATTTGACGACAATTTCCGAATTTCTTGAGATTTTGCTGATCATGGATACATTTTGTCCCTTCCTGATTTTTCCTGAACCCTAAAAACTCTGCTTCGAAAATATTTATTCAAACATACCTTGTCCAATATTTTAGTTTTTCCTGTGTCTACATGGCCTAACACACATACAACTGGGGCTCGTAGCTTATCGGTAGTTCTCTTTTTCTCTGCATCTGTGTGCCGTTTCTAAAACAATTAAAATGAAATGTATTTTCAAAGCTAAACGTTTGATGAAAAGGTCCCATTCAATTGTAAAACGGAAACAGACTGGAAATATAGCACAGAATAACATTTACCCAAAATTCTGAATTATAGGATTTTTATTATTTAACATCATTCCTTTATATCCGATTTGAAAAGTAACATGTTTTATATCACAGTTAGATCACAATATTGAAGTTTTAATCACGCTAAAGGTTTATAATACTGACCATGATCCTGGAGATTGCTTTTTCCCTGGCAGTAGCTTCTTCATCAGATGAGTCACTCTCTTCATCATCTGATGAGTCCTCATCATCTGAATCCTCCTCAGAGTTATCCTCGTCTTCATCATCATCTTCTTCAGTTTTTGTTGTCTTGGCTTCTATGGCAACTTTCTCCTTCTTTGGTTCAACTGTTACTAAAAAGGAAAATAGATTAATGAAGAATGTCACCAAATAAGCTATATATTATCAGTTAGGGGGGGGGGGGGGGTGTCTGGAACCCAAAAATAAGCATCCCCGACATTGATCCCTTGGAAATTGCATCAGCCAATTTTTGTTTCACAATCCTCTTTGCATGTTTCCATATTGAAAATATTTTCTTTTTCACTATTATAGCACAGCCAATATATAAAACTCCATCTAATGAATATGAAAGACTCATCAACATGGAGATAGGTACAACTATGAATTCTGGGGTATTTCCTCCTTTTGACAGAAGCTAGAAATCTAAGAGGACACTAACCTGTAACAGCCTTTGGCTCTTCTTTTTTAGTTTCCTCCTCCCCAATCTTTTCCCAATCGTCCAATGGCTCATCCTCATCCTGATCCCATGAACCAGCGATATCTTTCTCTTCTACAGGTGTTTGAGCAGGTGTAACATTGGGGGTCTCTGTAGCAGAACTACTCTCCATGTCTCCTGTGGGAGATGGGCTTTTTTCATCTGTCTTTACTTGCTGTGGCTGCTTCTTTTTCTTACCATAGATTGGCTTTCTTTTGGGAATATCTTCTTTGGAGGGAAGCTCCAAGCCTGAGTGATAAAACCGATCATCTTATTTTATTTGTCATAGTCGAAGATTTATTTGCAAGAGTAAATAGCAGGTGAACATTCCACTTTTGAATAATAAAAAAATAACAACAATAAAATGACAATTTATGTATAGCTGTATAATAAGCATTTTTTGGCAAAATATATACAAATGAAATGGCAATGCACAGGTTTGAGACACCTCATACACTGTATTCAAATCTTAGAGAATGGACATTCAGCACTAGCAGGGGGACATCTTTACTAAGTACTTACCTTGGGCTTTCATGGACTCCAACATCTGCTGAGCTCTTCTCTGCGCTTCTTTCTGTTTATTCGTCAATAATTTTCCTTCAGCTTTCAAACGATCTTTCTTCTCCTTCTCTTTCAATTTTTTCCTCTCTTTTCGTTCCTTTTCTTGTTTTTCTTCTTCAATCTTGCGAGCAAGTTCCTCTTCTTCGCGTTTAATTCTCTCTTCCTCTTCTCGCTGGAGTCTTTCCTCCTCTTCGCGAACTCTTTGAAGTGCTTCTTTCATTGCTGCAAGCTTTAAAATAAACAAATCTTTGATGTAATCAGGCTCAAATCTTTTTTAGCATACACAGAATCAAGTCATTCTTTAAACAAAGACAGAAAATGAATTGGACAACTTTAAAAAAGCTTCTGCAAGAAACATGAAATATAATTCTTCTTAATGAATTCAATTGTTGCAAAACTGTAAGTTTACATGATGGTTAAAGATGAGATATCTAAATTAGAATAACTCTTATACAAAAACATTTACCTGCCCTCTCCCAGGTTTTTTCTTCTCTTCTTTTTCCTCCCCTTTCTTCTTTTTCTTCTTCTTGTCTTTCTTCTTCTTACTACTGCTACTCTCCTCTTCTCCACCTTCATCCTTTTCTCCTTCTGCAGCTTCATCATCGGCAGCAGTGGTCTCTTTAGTAGCTTCTTCTGTAGCATTTTACAACCAATCAATGTTATTCATGACAAATTAAACATATAAAATATTTACAAAAAAAAGAAGTTTTACAATTTTAAGAATATCAGAAATTCATACATGCATATTCCTAAGACGGTATAAAATTTACATGAAATGGGTGGCACAGGTTGTGCATATTCCCATATAAGGCATATAATGTATCAATACATGAATAGATTGGGGATCTGTTTGTGAGAAATGCTTGCATTTTATTAATCGCACTGAGTCATATAAATATAAGTGAAACACATTTGGTGCTTCTAAAAAGTGTTACACTTGGGAAGTGTTCCACTTATGGAGGTTCATTTATCATTAAGCCAGTTGGTCTTGGGACTTTGAAAAATGTTCCAGTAATAGAGGTGTTCTACTTTTAGAGATGTTCCACTTTGGAGGTGTGGTGTTCTATTTACAGAGGTTCAATAAACATTAAGTCAGTTGGTCTTGGGACTCTGGTTACACTAACAGAGGTGTTCCACTTAACAGGTTTCACTGTACTTGCAAATACTTTGCAAATTAAATTACATGTCATAATGCAGCTAAAACACTTTTGAACTAACCTACTCTCCGTAGCTACATACTAAAATATTACTTTTCTCACCTGTGGGTGTTGACTCTTTAGCAGTAGCTGTAGCATCTGCATCAGGAGTCATTTGTTTTGCTTCTTCCTCAACTTTGGCTTCCTCTGCTGGTGTTGATGCTTTAGATTTCTTACTGGCCTCCTATTCAGAATAAATGTTCTCAAATTTAAGTTTTATTTAATCATAAATTATACTAATGATAATCTGAATAAGACATTGAGCAAAATTGAGGAGGTCATTAAGAGAAACTTATTTAGGATTCCAAAAGTCCACCGTTTGCTAACTATAATAAACAAAAGTCAAAAAGCTTATTCATTAAAATATTTTCCTCACAAATTGTGACAACCCTTGCGTTTCTACTCTGATAATTTTACCTTTGCTTTTTGCTCTGCTTTTTTCTTCTTTTCTCTCTCTTTCTTCTCTTTCTTCTTTTGAGCAGCAGTTTTTATTTTGAACCCCCCTTCATCTCCTTCATGATCCTTATCATCACCATCATCATCCTTATCATCACCATCCACATCCTCTTCAGGTTCAGGTTCCTTCACCTCAACCACATCACTCGTATCGTTCATTTTGGTTTCATTATCATCATTCTCTTTATGTTCAGAGTCATCAACTTTAGTTTCACTTTCAATCACATCAGTTTCATTGTTTTGTTTTTCTTCAGTCTCTTGTTTCTTTTTATCCTTTTTGCTTTTAGGTTTTTCAACAGGTTTGTCTAATTCGGCTAGAATGGCATCAAGATCATCTTCTTGTTCTTGCTGTTTCTGTTTCTTTTTATCCTTCTTGCTCTTTTTGGCTTGTTTCACAGGTGCTGCCTTTTCCTTTATAGATGGCGCTTCGGATGGACTGTCGTCAGCATCACTTCCTGGTCCTGATTCAGGATCTTCAATATTCAACATGGCGAACGCTGAAACTGGAGCGGGGCTTTCGTCATCAGCATCTGCAGCACCTTTTCTTGTTTTCTTCTGCAAGTGAAATGGGCAAAATGAAATGATTGGGCATGAAAGCAGAGTAAAAATTTGACAACAAATTTTCAAAAAATTCCACCGGGTTCATATTTGACAACTTTTGCCCAAAATTACTTGAAAAATTCTCAGAATGATGAAAAACTGCATGATTTTGAAAGAATCTTTGACCAAGGGGCCAAACAGGCCTCCACTCTGGCTACAGTACTAAAGTGTAATTCTTGTGTAAATCTAAATGACAAATCTAAGACAAGGTACAACCATGACAAAATGTCATCACCTGGTTGCAATACAAAAGCATGACAATATTAACTGGATAAAGAATGCCGATATCGAACACAAAATATGAAAGCTTTAACAAAATGTCACATCTACTTGGTGGTGACATAGAAGTTGAGAAATAAATCTAAAATTATGTTTAACTTGTGGTATCATTCCCAAGATTGCAGAGAATTATTAATTATCTTAATATCTATGGAGCAAGTTTAAATCAGACTGCCATCTATATGTACCTTTGTCTTTTTGACTGGTTCTGGAATCTCTTCATCTGCATCACCATTTGTGATGTCATCGTTACCTTGGTTCTGCTCCATTGCCAAGGCTGCAATCTCCTTAGCAACATCATCTTCCCTATAAATATATAACAAATTGACCAATTGTATCATATCATGAGGTAAATAAACATAATTGCTCAAAATGAAGATGATAATTATGTATCGTATCATAGAACTTGTGATATTCTGTATATATTACAATTGATTTCAATGAGAAGTAAAATTTGAATTACAAAACCAGCTAAATATTCTTTTTCAACTTTGTATCTTATTTAATCCTCCTGAAAATCTCTTCTTTTATTCTAAGTTGACAAGCCCTGAAAATATTCTTGCACAGAAAGTAATGATCACTTGTCTAGAAGTGATTTTGTGCTACTTTACTATACTGTTATGGGTAAGGTTATAGAAGTTGAGAGTTGATGACATCACTTCCTGCAAGAAATCTTAAAAGATGGCAGCTCACTGGAAATAAGCACTAGATTTTTAAATGATCAATATTGACCATATTAAAACTTTTTCCCATGTTTTGCTAAATATGGAAACTATATATATGATTATAGCTACCATATCAAGAGAGAAAGGGTCTGGCAAGGAATATTCCTTTAAGCATAGTGGGCCTTTAAGTCATAGAAATTTTCAAATCTATTCTAAAAAATATCACAGCTCTCTTGTTAATTGCCAATATCATTTTTGGGGAATTTTTATTAACTACTCACCACTTTTTCACATATCAAAATTCTACAATCAATAGTACAAAAGGAAAAATACCCCAGAATGAACCTAGAGGTTTGTCTTTACATCATTTATTTGTATTAGTCCCCTTCTTACTACCCCCATAAATGTGGGGTTATTTTGAGGATTTTTAATATTTAGGACATTTGTTACTCAAAATAACCCCACAAAGTTTAGGCTTTGATTCTTTGGGGATTTGCTAAAAAAAATCAAATTCTTGATACACATAGAATTTGTACTAATATTTTTAGAATTTACTCACCTTTTTATGTTTTTCGTATCGACAAGACATTAATCTTCAACATGCTACCAAATATAGCCCTCTAAGTGTTGTATTCATTCTTGTAATGACGATTTAATTTGAGAGTGACGATATTTCGAAAAAGTTTTTCAAATTTGTACTTCGGGCATGCGCAGTCGATATTTTTTATCTAAATAACAAACTTCGCTTAAATACGAAATCCAAAAGTAAAAATGGAGGGAAATTTTGAAAAATGATTTTCACCTTCCGGGGTGTAATAAAAGGACTGTCAACCTCAAGTTTGGCCGCTGTAACGTCTACGGCCTTTGTTTTCCTGAACTTAGGCATAAGCAATAATTTTGTTATTAATTTGACAGGTGATTTCGTTTGGCACTTACCCTTTGCATTCATTTGACTTCACTTCTAAAAAGAGAGCTTCGTCTTCACTCTTTCAAACTAAAATAAACCTGGTCATTCCTTCTGACGTCATCGTTGAGCCCGGAATTGACCAATGACTTGCGCATATTTAATTAGAACGGATTTGGCGTATATTTCTTCAAGCTCGCTGATTGGTGGAAGGTCAGCGCGTAAGTCAAATGTGATTTACCAAAACTGTCACCGGTACCATCGTGGGGGCGGGGCTACTAAACTGTAATATGGTCTCTACTAGGCAGAGTGTAGTTTAACTAGACTCTGCACGCAGGGTATTTGGCACTGTTAAGTTTTCCATCTACCACATAATTCCACCCAAAATGCAACGCGCGAAAATGGCCAAAATTTGAATAGATTTCGAGAGTCAAATATTACAGCAAATTGTTCCAGTTATAAACCATTGTTTCGACTGATTGATCGCTCATTATATTGGAAAAACTGCCGATATTGTCAGAACTTGAATCTTCAAATCATGTGAAAAAACCGCAAAGAATCAAAGCCTAAACGTTGTGGGGTTATTTTGAGAAATAAATGTCCTAAATATCAAAGAACCTCAAAATAACCCCACATTTATGGGGGTACTTCTTACGTATCAGTACGTACCAGTCATCATCCTTCTTCTTTCTGCCCTTCTTTCCCTTCTTAGCTGCTGGTTTGCTGGCAGGCTGCTGGACTTCATCATCTTCAGCAGCGGCTACTGGGTCTACCACTTCACTGTCACTACTACAGCAGTAAAATTGTAAATTAGACACATGTTTGAAATGACACTATGTGGCTGAGGCCTTGGCATACGTTATAAAATATTTAAATCCCCTAATGTACAAATGCCTAGTGTATATGTAAATACTATCTTAGCTACTTACTCATGCAAATGAGTGAATAATGGATGTAACAAAACAAGATAAATATAAAACATAAGAAACTTTATTTTACTGCGTAAACTGGGTTCATCTATGTGTTTCAAGAGAAACTCTGGGGTGAGAGACATAACCTATTTTAGACAACTAAGATGGCGAAATAAGACACAGACACAGATCCGGATAGAGGACACTTCAGATTCCTGAGTGGTAGATATTGCATCATATGGTGCAATCAATGATCAAAGACAACATATCAGTATTTTTGTTGTCAGATGAAAATAAAATCTCAAAAAGTAAAACATGTCTGGATTATATTAGAGCAGATATCATCATTGACTCACATCGTAAAACTAATCAGTGAATTGTTACATTTGTGATCTGAATGAATGAGACTATGATCGGAATGAATGAATGAAAATGTGATTTTCGAAATTTTTTCTCAAACCACGTGTTCTTTTCTACTCACAAATCATCATCCTGGTGTCCCTTCTTCCCCTTCTTTGGCTTTCCCATTATGACGTATATATCTGGATAACTTGATCATTAATTTTAACTGTTTGTATACCCCTAACGGTAAGAAAACAGCTGTTTTATGATAAAATCTGGAAATTTCGCAGATTTTTATTCTTTTATACGCATGCGCAACCGGATGTGAAATTTCCCGGGAATAGTTATTTTCGTGCAGTTTAACAAAACAATTCCCGGGGTCGGGAGACGGGGTAACACAACCAAATGCTATCATGCGTTTTCCAATGCAAATGATCTGTCATTTAGACTTTATTGTGGCCATGTTTTGCTATCAATCATACCCAAGCATGTCCTCTGTCAGTGGAAAAAGTTATAATAATCAAAACTCCCAACGAAAATCAAAAGATCTCGCCTGTTGAATACGCCATCTATACTGAGAAAATGTCAAAAATTGTCATTCTGATTTTGACAGATGGGAGGGAGGTCAAAACGGTGAAAATTTTTCAAATAAATCAAAATGCCATCTATTCCTCACTCCGGCGGAAGGATCAATTGGTTGTGCCCCTAGTAGACATCAAAATCTTTGATATTATGGTAGACTAAATGGAGGATTTCTTTTTATTTCAAGGTAGAAGGTTGATTTGTTGACTCAAAACGTTACATTGCATGGGAGTTGGTTTAGCATGGCCGTGGGCGCCGGGGGAACCTTCCCCGCTAGATCTACCAAAAGCTGCCGGGCATGAAGAGTCTCCTTGTTTGTGATTTCTCTTTTACTGAACAGAAATATGTATCTATATGTCTGACCTGACCAGACGATAAATACTGAACTAAACGGAAGTCCACTTTTAGACTATGATGAAAATCGGAAATTATAAACTAGTATAATATCATATTAAGATAGATCTTAAAGGCTGCAAACATTTTGAAGAAAGATATTTTTAAGAACCTGTCTTGTCTAGAACTCCTTGCAGAAACTCGACTACAATTAGCACATTAAAAAAATCGGTCTTACAAGGGTAAAAATCGTTTTTACACAATACCTGTACGTTTTTATGGGTTATTAATTATCCATTCAAACAACCCATTTCAGCTGTACAAAACCGGGTTAGCCCCTTCCAAATAAACGAAAAATTACGTCATTTTTTGCCTCATGTTGCAACTGGTTTACGTTTTATTTTGGTTTTCTTTGAGATCAAAAGTAAATGTATATATTATAACGTACAGTAGCCTGGAGACCCATAGTGAAATAACACTGAAATTAATACATCCCCTGGCTCCTAACAACAACTACAGAATCTGCCATGGGCCTGGCTATTGTCAATATGAATGAATTTTATGTGACTCATCAAGGCGATGAAATGTTGAATATTATTGTTAAACACGACTTTTCATAGATTGCCGTAGGTGCTATAAAAGTAAGCTTACTCGCCAAATAGCCAAACGGAAGAATGTTTACATCTTTCCTAAGGACTAAATGCCCGGACTAAATGAAGGCCGACACGGACACAAGAACACAGTGGCCGGCCTGTTACGTGAGTTGTATTCACGTGGATAGCTAAGTGCATTCGATCTACGTGAGATCCATGTCGATTGCAAGGATCAGAATGTGTGCAAAAACAAACTATATTTTCTTGTTCATTGGGCTTAAAGGGATGACTATAAATTTCTTTCTAAAAGTGCTAGGATAATAGGGTTAAGTCTTCACTTTGAATTCTAAATACATTTATTTCACAATTTATTTGTTTGAAATTCAGCGTTTAGGATGGCCATACTGGAAAAGAGCTGCACGCTCGCGCTGATGTTCACTTTGGTCATTCAGTTGTAATATTTTCAAGCATCGATCTGATCAAAGTATACACACGTGGCTCACCTGAACAACAGATCGATTGTGACATCAATGTGAAGGATGTAAGTAAAAAATATCAAATCCCTATTTCGATCGCCCGTTAGATTTTTGTATTTTTATTCATTTATTTACTATAAATACTGCTCATTGATGTTGCACGTTCGACACTAGACGCCCATCCATAATTATCAAAAAAGAAAGCGTAACTTCCCTGCGGTCACTAAGAACTTTATTTATGTTTTTATTGAAATAGTCTCATATTTCTATTGCTGAGAAAATACATAACAAAAAGCGGCTCACTTTTTTGGACACCTGATATATGTAAAAGTTCTGTGTATTGAAAATCCATATATTTGGACATACCTCATCTTTAATCTTTCAATGTTGAGAAAAATTGGAAATTGAATTGTCCTATCTCACTTTTTAATATGCTAAAAAACTGCTCTAGAAAATCTTAAAATTCATGATTTTTTTTAGTATATTTTCACATATTTATGACAAAAACAATTTTAAAAATTTCACACATGACAGACAGATACTATTGAAGTTATAGATGTCTAAACTTTCAAAAATTCTCAGTTGTGAAAAATGTAAGTTGGGACATTATTATTCTGATAGGACGACTTGCAATTAATTAATTAATTTAAAACTACCCATCTTTTGTTGTAGCACTATTTTCTACACTCAACTTTACTGTCGTGGCTGGGAGGATTGGCAGCCATTATTCAAACTCGATCTTCCGCTGCCTGGCGGGGTACAATTTAATAAACACATTTCTACAAGGTTCTCTTTTGACCAAATATTTCGTTAAAAGATGGACATTACGAATATTATGGTAATATTCATGCTTCAATGGTAGTTCGAGTCTTCAAAATATGGGTAATATCGTTACCAAGTTAATTTCCGCCAGGCAACGGAGAATCGAGTTTGAATGTCTTCCAATCCTCCTTACTGTTGTGGAGTATCCAATGCAGAATATTGTTTCAGGAGCTGACCAGTGTGGGGAAGAAACAAGGACAAACAGGTCGAAGCATTGAAGGTATCCTTCAACCCTTGGCCAATATAATATATCTACCCTCGGGACCTACGGCCCTCAGGCAGATATAGTATATTTGCCTCGGGATAATCCCAATATCCTGAACCTCATAGGATAATCTCTATTTACTGCTACGTCCCAAAAAGCTGCATCCACCAAATGGCGTGATATTTTTAATTGCTAATTTCATGGAGACCAATACAAATAATATACATAATATTTTAGTGAAATATTGGTATGGTTCAAAAAAGCTGAAACAACTTAAAGGCAGAATCAGATCTATAGGGGTGAAAAAATGACAAGCAGCATGTACAATTGACCTACCAATCTATTTATTACAATCTCAAATACAATATCTCCCAAACGATTCTCGACATGCTATAAATTGGTGAAGTTATTATGGATTCTAAGTGCAAAAATGAGTGAAAATGTCTAAATTCTCCCAAATGATAAGAATGGTAACCATTCTTACAGAAAAATAATACATTATTGTAAAAATCTTAAGTTTTCCTGAAATAAAGTGTGGACTCTGGGGATTTTAAGAAAAAAGACATGACAAGAGCCAGAAATATTTTAAAATTGAAACGATTTTTTGTTGGCCTACTCGCTAGATCTGATTCTTTCTTTAAACTTTTTGCAAGCGAAAGAATAATGAAAATGTCAAATTTGTTTTTCAAATTCATGATGGTGGGCAGAGTGTGGAATGACAAATTAATGAACGGCCAGCTGAAGGCCAGCTACAGTTTAAAGTTTGATTTCTTTTGTGTTTACTATTCAACTATTGAATGAGTAAATAGCGAGTAATTAGTTCAGCTTTAGTGCACTGCATGTGACAGTTAATCATCATTTGTACAACACTGGTAGCTTGCCAAGTGTCAATTCTTTATAGAAAACAATTGCAAAAGAATGGACTCTTCTTTATTACATCTGTATATTCTTTAAAATAGACTACATAGTCCATGTGTAAAAAGACGATATTCGGTAGAGCGTGAAAATGGTGGAAAAAGTCGTCGAAACCTCTTAATATTGTTGAATTACCAATGTTGGCGACATTATTTATTGTTTTAGTCCTACATGAATTACTTGGGCAGGTCAATGCCGCTCGTAGTATCACCGACACAAACGAAATCATCAGTTAATCCATGGCCATATGTCCCTATGGAATTGTTCATTTAGTGAGTTTAATTTACTCATTGCATGAAATGGTACACTTGGTTTGGAAACATTAATCAACTTCATAGTAAGAAACATCATCGATACCAACAACAAAATTACTCAATGGAATCGTCGACTCTAGCAATGCACACTTTTTGTCGGATTTGTTGAATAAAAAGGCTCGACATGTAGAATTTGCGACCCCAAAACATTTTGTTGCACATTCTAATTTTGACCTAGTTGTGAATTCTCCACCAATGACATTTGCGAGATTATTCACTGCTTTGTTCTCAATCTTTAAACTATATGTCATCGTTCCAAACTGCTGTGCTTTGCAAAGCCGTTCGGCTGTTGTCGTTGCTGCTGTTGATGGTACTGCTGTCGTTATTTCATGAACTGCAAAAATAAAAATGATGCCAGCAGATTTTTTGTATTGAAGAAATGCACAGTTCTATCTACATTTCAAACCGTTCCGAAATCTAACATTTCAACTAAATATAAAGCATTAGTTAAAATGTATATGACAAAATTCTTCTTCTAAAACTGCACTCATACGATGAGATCGGCAGATTTGTCCGATGTGGGGGTCAAGCTTTTTTCCGAAGTGAAAATACTAAACCAAAAGAATCTCGCAATTTATTTTTAACTGAGATGTTTCCTTTTTTCAAAGAAAGGAACCTGCTCCATGAAATGGATGTATCATTTGCAGATAATTTTCATTTGTGATTTTAGTATTCTTTACATTTTTTTATTATTTGTATATCATGTTTTCTAGATTTTGTTTGCTATGGGTGATTGTCCGCTATGGGGTCAGTTTCAAACATGAAATCTAGCGTTAGTACCATCTTTACCTATCATACAGGCCACACCACCAGTCTCAAAAGTAGATCCAGCAGTATTCCACGCCATACTGCCTGCCTTCACATAAACATAGTCTTTGCTATCAGGGGGAGTTTCCCAATTGGTCCAAGTTAATGGGGATCCATCGTTATACCATTCGCCCCAGCTGCTTCCCGATGTCCTTTTTGCACCAATCCAGACACTTCTAAGACCCATACTGCAACATTTATCCAGGCATTTATCCAAAGGATTTATTTATGTTGTGTGAATAAAAAAGATTTGTGAAATAGGAATATCAAGCGTTTTTCAGACAACCTTCAACCTTGTACCTTTAATCTCTGACCTCATTTGGCAAAATTACAATTTGGTATGCTTTTGATAAAAAGTGAATCGTTTTCCGTACAGACCAGTGTAGGGGATTCGGTCACTTCTGAGTTGAGACCGGACAACCTCAAATGATGCGATTACAATTATTATATACAAAACGCATCTCCGTATATTTTCAGAAAAAAATTAAGATTTTTTTGCAATATCTTCGCAACCATTTATCCGTTTTAAAATGACAAGAACCCCCTACCAATGTTCACATATTAAATAAAGAGGTAGTCTATTTGATATGTATCAAACCTGTTTGAGTCAAAAACATCCTTCAGGATTGCACTGTCTACTGCGTTGTCTATTTTGGCTAAGACACCACCACATTCTAAAGAACACTTATTAATTGCCATGTTTCTTTCGAGGTCACTGCTTTTATAAACCTTATACTCATCTGAAATGGCGAAAACATGTGCGTCAATCATGGTTGAAACAATGTATCTTATGGCTGAAGTTGAAATGATGGGATGGAGAGTTGTAGAATACCGACAAAACATTTGTGCCAATCTTGGTTGAGACAATGTATCTTATGGCTGAAGTTGAAATGGTTGGAAGAAGAGTTGAAGAATACCGACAAAACATGTGCGTCAATCATGGTTGAGACAATGTATCTTATGGCTGAAGTTGAAATGGTTGGAAGAAGAGTTGAAGAATACCGACAAAACATGTGCGTCAATCATGGTTGAGACAATGTACCTAATAGCTGAAGTTGAAATGGTTGGAAGAAGAGTTTAAGAATACCGACAAAACATGTGCGTCAATCATGGTTGAGACAATGTATCTTATGGCTGAAGTTGAAATGGTTGATAGAAAAGTTGAAGAATACCAACAAAACATTTGTGCCAATCATGGTTGAGAAAATGTATCTTATGGCTGAAGTTGAAATGGTTGGAAGAAGAGTTGAAGAATACCGACAAAACATGTGCGTCAATCATGGTTGAGACAATGTATCTTATGGCTGAAGTTGAAATGGTTGATAGAAAAGTTGAAGAATACCAACAAAACATTTGTGCCAATCATGGTTGAGAAAATGTATCTTATGGCTGAAGTTGAAATGGTTGGAAGAAGAGTTGAAGAATACCGACAAAAAGTCAGAATAATAACTTCACTCTGTGAGAGAGATCATATAAAATTACAATCGCATGGTGCGAGACTCACAAAACCATTGCGGTTTTGTCTTGACATCGTATTTTCAATCACGGCCATCAATTTTCAAACAAGATTCCTTGAAACATCAGAAGATAATGTTATTCTCATACTTATAAAACTAATTGTGACTTTCAAAGACTCTTTATTCAGCAGTAAAAAATTGCTTCATGGGTGACAAAATGTATCTAGTTTCCTGCTAATTCTCCAGTCTCGAATCATGCGATTGTAATTTTAAGCGATCTGTCTGCAAAGAGTGAACATAATATTAATTTTATTTCGTAGCTTTGGAGGAAGAGCGAGTCATGCAGGATGTCGACGTGTAACCAAAGGTCGGCCTATATCGACAGAATCGGGCTAGTTCACAATATTCCACACAGAACCTTTAAATATACCCTTTCTGGCCTCGTATTCTTGCAAAAATGCATTTTTATAGAATGTTTTGTAAATTTTAATTTGTATGTGAGACCGCACATTTGGTCCAACCAATAACGTCAGTCAAAGTTGTATCCATATTTCAATGCAAATGTCTGAACAAAAAACTAGTTTTTCTGAAAACGAATATGTTTTTATATATTATCCCGTAATGTATTTGTTTAGTAATATTACGAAAATTATAAGAGATTTTAAGTTAACACATATTGAGAATTTAAATATTATTTTAATTCTAGTACCAAGAGACCAGACGTGCTTGGAAACGATCCAAATCAATTAAATCAATTTTTGTTGTAATGATTAAGAAATCAGTAAATGTATCTTTCTGATTAAATATATTAACCATATAAGGAACAATGTTTTTCAGATGTCATTTTAAGCGATATGTTTACTTACATCGGCAGTGGTCTCCCCCAAATGGGCTTGCACAGGAGCTAACTGATGAGGTGAAACTTCCAAGCAGCATAATTTTAAAAACGTTTGCCATTTCATTTATTTGAAGTTGTACTTTCTGGGATATATATCTCAGACGCAGACGTATATATATCTTTCAGACGTCTGAAACCTCACCGCTCGGGGCCAGGATACGGTAACAGCCGTTACTTTCTCTTTCAAAATGGCGAAAGCTAAGATGTCGATTTCGATATTTTTGGTTCTCCCAATTAAATCACTTTGTTTTGAAATGAAGATCGCATTAAAATTGTGACAAATATATTCCATAAACAGTTCTAGGCGTGGACCCAACTATATCTGAGTAGGGCCACTCTCTTCGTTCGAAAACGAAAAGTGAAGTGGTGTACCGTGATGCAAAGTTTCTCGCTGATAACTCTATTATTTGAAAGATGAGTAAATAACAAAGGAACTGACCTTTGTAATAGTGGGCACAGTAGAAAAGTGGGAAAAGTGATGTGCCCTTGAAGGATTCATTCGACTATTGACTTGTAAAATACAAAATTCCCGGGAAATAATATTTTCTGTATTTTACTTGAATAATTGAATAAGTTATATTTGAAGCAATTTAAATATATACAATGGGCGATCCATATGTTCTGATAAAAATGTTCTAATTTTGGGGATTTTTTCACACATCCCTCTCATATTTTCAGAACATGTCTGTAATTGCACATTACAAAATCTATATGATCTGAAAAAATGAGAAGAATGATAGGTGAAAAAATCACAAAATTAGAGCATTTTAATCAGAATATAGTGATCTTCCCTTGTATATACAGAACTTGAATTTTTCTCACCCTGTACACTGACATATCAAAGCCGATTAGATATTTTACTTTTGCTTGCATAACGTGTCGATTATTTCCCCTCATGATATATAGGCAACTTCAAGAAAAAGATGTGACGATTTTAGATAAGTTGTATCCCAAAGGCGTCAATATGCCAAAGGCCTTTCTAACTAGGTATATACTAACGTTAATACTTTGTCACGTTGTGGAATGGATGATAAAAGCCGCGTGCTTTTAAATTCATTACATCAACAATTTTAAAAGCGAGTCTAAGATGCAAATGTAAACTAGTCGAAGTCAGTGTCTGAAGCCAAGGGTCTCTATCGATTTTTGCTATTTAAAGAAATTAATTAACAACCTTAGAGCTTGTTTTGTTATCTTTGCCAATTGTTTTCAATCAACCAGTATTCTTTAAGGAAGCAAAATTCCATACTCATTTGTCCCACCTGCTTACAAGGACGACACTTGTTCGTGACAGAATGGATGATCATCTGGCATGGAAACATCAACCAAGAGGGGAAGAAACACCAGGGTTCAAAGATGACATACGCTTACAATGTAAATCTGTATTGAGATGACATCGTCGCTGATTGGTTTAGTGAGTCGATCGTTGATTGGTTTAAAACTAGGTCAATTTGAAAACCAAAATGGAGGGAAGTATAAATATACGTACTTCCGGGAAAGGAGGTGCGCAAAGGAGGAAATCGTATGTCATCAATTGAATCATGGGGTTTTCCCTCCTCTTCATCAACCTAACCCTGACATAGCCCCCACCTAGCCTAACCAAACCTAACCTAACCCTGAACCATAATTCTAACAAGTAAGAATGATCGGAACTTCGATCAGCCATCTTCGGTTGCTATATATGAGTTTTGGGGTGTCCCAAACTGTTGAAATCGTACTCTCCAAAGTAGATAAAATAAACGACATCAATCTGCTATAAGTTCGTGTAGGACTAAAATCACACCCGGTGATCGTGAAAATGGGACGGAGGGGGAGCAAGCAATTTCTGGTAGAAAAATGAACAAATCTGCAAAAATTATTTTTTCAAGAAAAGGTTTATGATTTAATTGCTAAACGAATAGGCGCATGGTATGGTAAAATATGTCACGTATTCTACGAATTTTTTTTAGCCGATTCTCTTCTTAGGTATAAGATCTATTAAAAAAGGCGCAACGCCACCAACGTGCAAAAGTCAATGTTTTTGCTTTAAATCAAGCATCAACGGTCTACACAACCTGCAATAAATATTTGTAAGTGACATTATCATCATAAAATTAATGACCTTAATGACTTTACAAAATATGTTTCCATACGTTGTATAAAAAATAATCGAAAATAATTAAAATGGGACGGAGGGGGAGGGGACGGAGGGGGGGGAGCAATATGTCTATAAGATATGATATGAGATGTTACTTGATACTTTATATCCAGATTTTCCCATTATCTCCTCAATTACAAAGGGTCAGGAATTGATAACATGTTGTACTTGTTAGGTTTAGTGAGAGGGGTCAAATTAAGGTTGGCAAAATATTCCAGGAGACTGTTTATCTATAAATGTTTACCTGTCTTAACGTTTTTACTTGCTGATTTGTAGGCATATCATACACCACAGCACATCACACTTTGGACATGTAAGTTTCAGCGAAAATGTAAGTTATTCACAGCGAAGTAACAATCTACTTCTGAATGGTTTGTTAATAGACAGGGTTTAAAACAAGGTGGAAAGATCTCCATGTTTTTGTACCTTTTATTTATAAATCCACTTATTAACTTGCTTGCAAATAATAACTCATGTAAAGTTGGATCATTAAATGTGAGTTGTGTGTGTTATACTGATGATCTAGCAATTCTAGCTATACACAAGAGTAAATTAATTGATCAATTAAAACTTGCTAATAATTATGCCAATAAGTGGCGATTTCAATTTAATGCTTCCAAGAGCGCAATTATGGTTTTTGGAGAGACAAAAAGTCAGAAAAAGAAAAGACAACACTCTGAAGGTACCAACATTACAAAACATTGAAAACCTTGTAATTAATGAGGAGAATTCATATAAGCATCTTGGTGTTAATGTTTATGCAAATAATAATTCTGATAAGTTGAGGAATGTTAATGCTACAATAAGTGATGCAAGATGTAATTTTTATGCATGTGTAGGAGCCAGAATGAGGAATGATGGTTTAAACCCCCTAATACTTTCTAAGGTTTACCAATCTGTAATGATACCTAAAATGCTATATGGAGCAGAAGTTAGATCTTTTAATAAGCAGGAGGTTGAACTCTATGAAAAAACTCATAAACACATGTGTAAATCTATTCAGAATTTACCTCAGAATACACCAAATGATGCATGCTTGGCATTATTGGGGTGGAGAGGAATATTATATAATATTGAGCTATGTAAGCTAATGTTCTGTTTCAACATATTGTCCTTGGGTGCCAGTAATATTTATAGAAACATTTTTATATTTAGAGTGTTTGAATGTTTAGTGAATCATCAAGCAGGTGGTATTACTAAAGAGTATATTACTATTTTAAATAAATATTAATTGTTGGACAATGTTGTGAGCTTCATGTACAATGTTTGTATAAATATGTCAAAGTTTCTTTGGAAAAAAATATGTAAGAACAATGTTAGGGATTTTGAATTTAATAGTTGGAGACAATCTTTATCAATGAGTATTCAACTTCAAGATTTTAGAAATGTACAGTTGCATGTTGACATTCCTTCTATCTGGTATTACTTAGGACTTAAACATCCTGAACTTAAGCAAAAATGTAATATGATGATTAAGTTGCTATGTGGTATCATGGTGGTATACATAATTTAGAAATTAACAACCATGGTTTACCTAGAGAAAATAGGGAATGTAAGAAATGCAATAATAACTCATTAGAGGATCTTTATCATTTTATTATGGGTTGTGATAATTATGTTGATATCAGAAAGATTATGATTGAAAATCCTGCATTTAAGAAACTTTCATGTGAGGTATTATATAACATTATTTTAGGCATGGAGTTTCCAATGAAAAATTGGGATAATGTTTTGATTATTTCATGTAAGAGTGTCTCAATTATGTACCAAAGAAGATTTTTTAGCTGATTTACCAATGTATCCATTGTTATTTTGGGTCTAAATTTTGCCCATGTATACATGTATAATTCATGATATTGTAATTGTATAATTAGCATAAGGTATAGTGTAAGATTGTTTTAATTGTCAAACTATTCTTCAGTATTGGAGGCTAAATAAATAAATAAATAAAATTATGCGATATATTTTAATTATGCAGAATTGAATAAATACAAGAAGCTCACGCGTCTCCAACTCACGACCTGATGGTCATGACGTCTTTGTCTAGCTGAGATTCTGGCGCTGTAGACTGCTCGGCCAACTGGCAATGCCAAAAAAACATGTTCCATCAGCCGATCTGACTAGAGAATTTACACTTAATAGTCTGCTAGGAAGGTTCCCAGTGAATGTGCATCATTCATGCCATGGGTGCAACCCCTATTACGCCAAAGAAGCGTAACAAGTCATTTTTTGAAAATGAAATAAAAATTTGTTAATTATTTGAAAATTGTTTTGTGTGCTTATTAAATCAGTAAGCCGTATCTCATCCGGTTTCCACTGGGACAGGCTCAAATCGTTCTGATATCAATGTTTTTGCATGCTCAAGATTCTCTATTTTGAAGAAATACAAATGCATTGTCAATGTATGTTAATATTTTCTAACTACGAATACAACTTGTTATCAATTTCTAACCCATTGTAATTGAGGAGAAAATGGGAAAATTTGGATATAAAGTGAAGTAACATCTCTCATCATGTCGTATAGACATTTTGCTCCCCCCCCTCCGTCCCCTCCCCCCCCCCCCTCCGTCCCATTTTAATTATTTTAGATTATTTTTTATACAACGTATGGGAACGTATTTTGTAAAGTCATTAAGGTCATTAATTATATGATGATAATGTCACTTACAAATATTTATTGCAGGTTGTGTAGACCGTTGATGCTTGATTTAAAGCAAAAACATTGACTTTTGCACGTTGGTGGCGTTGCGCCTTTTTTAATAGATCTTATACCTAAGAAGAGAATCGGCTAAAAAAAATTTGTAGAATACGTGACATATTTTACCATACCATGCGCCTATTCGTTTAGCAATTAAATCATAAACCTTTTCTTGAAAAAATAATTTTTGCAGATTTGTTCATTTTTCTACCAGAAATTGCTTGCTCCCCCCCCCCTCCGTCCCATTTTCACGATCACCGGGTGTGAAAATACCCGACGCCAACAAGTGACATTGGTTTCGATAAGTTTCAAAACGTTGTGACAACTTTTCTATTTTTTCACATTTTTTGCAAATGTAAACAAAGGAGGTTCGGACAGCTAAGGCTTTTCATCCTTCTGTCCATAGAGATGCATTTTGAGTCCATCTATATTTTATTCTGTAGTGATATAAACTAATCGACTGATTACGAAATGGGTATCCACACAATACAAGGTGTTATACAGGGTGTTCAAAAAAACGCAACCCAAAGAAATTGCTATATCTTGAAAAATACTAGTTCAATTATGTTCATTTTTTCAGGAAAGAAAGAAAAGACTGTGTATGTATAGCTCATGTAGTTGGTTAGTTGTAAAACATGATGCATTGGACACCTGCTCAAAAGACAGTTGTACTAGGAAAATACGAAAAACCCAGTCAGGGCTGACTGCAACCGAAAAAAAACTAAATAACTTCCTAGCCATAGTGTTTTGGCTCTTTAGATTTGGCACAAATCATCGTCATTCACTGTATGGTAGATATGTAAAGTGAAATTAAAATCACTTCAGGGACTTTACAGTTATGGTTGAAATGCTTTCAAATCGCAGTCAAACACCCTGGTTCCAGCAGACTTCAGAAGGCATTTTGACCATGACTGTAAAGTCCATGAAATGATTTTGATGAAACTCCACAAATTCACCACACATTGAATAAGGAAAACTTATGCCAAATATGAAGTGCCAAAACACTATGGTTTGAAAGTTGTTAGGTTTCATTGCTGTGGCAGTCACATCTGACTGCGTTTTTCGTATTTTCCTAGAACAATTGTCTTTTGGGCAGGTGTCCAATGCATCATGTTTTACAACTTACTAACAACAGAAGCTATACATACACAATATCTTCTTTCTTTTCCTGAAAAAATGAACATAAGTGAATCAGTATTCTCCAAGATATAGTGATTTTCCATTCGCGTTCTTCATATTTTCCTTGTACGACTGCCTTTTGAGCAGGTGTACAAGACATCATGTTTTACAACTAACTAACAAGAGGAGCTATACATACACAGTCTCTTCTTTCTTTCCTGAAAATATGAACACAATTGGATAAGAATTTTCCAAGATATAGCGATTTCTTTGGGTTGCGGTTTTTTTGAACACCCTGTACTAAAACCTAGCCTTGCCCAACTCGGTCTCGGTTACGTATTTTGATTTCTATAAGATCAGATAAGTAAAAATATCGACTTGGGCAAGGCTAACCAAATCCGAAAAATTCAGAATCTGTAGGAGGTTTAATACCATTGGATTGGTTCACCGGTGCTCTCTCGTAGTTCGTTACTCTTAGGTCATTCAAAGGAGGGGGAGTTGTTTGTCGAATGAATCGGGGGAAATTTTTCGTGCATTTCGCTTATGTTTTTCATCCAAAAAACATCAATATACTTTAAAACATTTTATTGACTATAAGATTGCACCATATAATCCCAAAAGATATTTCTCATTTTCAAAGATTTTCTATGGATTAACACCCAGGTATTTTCATTTTTAAACTTCAGAGGGCTGGGAATCATTGATAATCAACGCTTTCGAATAATATAAAAGCTGTTTTAAATAGGTTTCATGTATGCCAATAAACTGTACACATTCCATAATCCCTAGAATTTTCTCTTGAGGATTTTCCCATAGAAATCCAACAGTTCAGTTCCAAGCAGATTTTGAGATAACAGGAAAGTAAATCTTTAATACACATGCACCTTTTTGGGTTGTTTTTTTTTTTTTTTTTTTTTTCATGTTATCGATTTATTTCAAATAATAACATAGATGTACAAAGTTAGCTGATTGCCAAAGTTTTGCAACATTAGCGGCAATTAAATAATATAACATAAATGAAATAATAGATATAATATAAAATACAAAAGGTTTACATATATTCTTAATTCCAAATCACTGAATCAAGGAAATCCCATGGGCGGGGATGATGACAAAAAAGAAAAAGCAGAAAAATGAAGAAACGGAACCTGTTGTCACAGACGTGATATGATAGTGAAACTCGTGTATATATAATAACTAACAATATGAATTAATTCTTCATTTATTGATGCATCTAAATCATCTTTTCCAAAAAGTAAAAATTGTAATTTATCATTCAAATTGTAGCTGTTAAACAGGTTTCCTAAATTGTAAGTATGAAGGCCTGCAATGAGGTTGATTCTTTCATCATGGAGCAGTGGGCAATTTAAAAGAAAATGCAAGGTAGTCAATGGAACACCACATTTACACAAAGGGTCACTAATGTCATTAAAGTTATGTGCATAAAGGTGTGCTTTAAGTAAAAGGCCACACCTGAGTCTATTAAAAGGTATTTCAATATGTCTGGGTAAGGTCACATTCAATTTAGAAGTTGGAATTAAAGAGACTGGGTTGTTTTGGTTTATATAGCAACAATCAGTTGTATTCAACGGTTGTAATTGATATTATGTTTATTCTATCAACCAGAACTGGTATTTACATGTTATACATAATATGTTACATAAAATGACGAAACTATTTGCTACATAAAATAATGAAAATGTTCATGTACAACCAATCCCTACTGTTGACGGACAGCAGGCTATCTATGACGCTGTAAGTTTACTCCCCCCCCCTATCACACCAAACTAGTTCTTACCCGTTCTTGCCAGTCTTACAAAAACGTCGTAAAACGGGCTCAATCTGGCTGTGGTCGGGAAATATGTTTAAAATAATTAGCTACTTCGTTCATAAACAGTCTTCAATACGTCCATCTCATTCGCAGTTCGTTCAGGTCGCACTACGTCGGTGTGCAACGTCGTATAATGCGTCCCTTAGTCTAGAAGGTCATCATGACCCGATTTCAGAACGGTATGGTCGCCATCGGATTTTGAATCGATTCAAAATTCTAAATCACATTCCCCGTTCGGGAAAGTCCATGGAGTTCGTAAACAGACCGTAGAACGTTGCAGCTACTTTCATTCAGTTCGCACAGAGTTTAAAACCAGTTTTGAAGAACGCAGTGGCAACTTGTTTGGTGTGATAGCTATATTTTTGCTAACTCGTTCATAAGCAGTCTTGAGTACGTTCTTAATCAGTTTAAACCCATTTGCAATTAGTTATACCTCGTTATCAATACGTCCTCAGACAGTTGAACTCGTTGTAAAAACGTCCCTAGTAGGATTGAACTTACAACGGTTCCGTTCGCAGAACGTCCAGCTCGTCGTTAGTACGTTGTCACTTGTTCTAATTGTAGAACGTATCGACCACGAGAACATTTTGAGCATGTTCTTAGTTCTAGAGGACACACCCGTTCGAGTACGTTCGATGAAGTTTGTAAATAGACCCTAAACGGTTCTAAGTACGCCCAGTCCGTTCGTACACAGTTGAAACCCGTTTTCGAGAACTAGTTTGGTGTGATAGTAGGGTAATCAAGTACACGTTACATACAACATACAATGAGAAAATGAGAGAAGAGGTTTATGTACAACCAATCACTTTTGTTGTCTGACACCAGGCTATCATGTTGACACCGTCAGTTTACAGCGTACCCGTTGCATACAATATACAATGAGAAAATGAGAGAAGAGGTTTATGTACAACCAATCACTTTTGTTGTCTGACACCAGGCTATCATGTTGACACCGTCAGTTTACAACGTACCCGTTGCATACAATATACAATGAGAAAATGAGAGAAGAGGTTTATGTACAACCAATCGCTGTTGTTGTCTGACACCAGGCTATCATGTTGACACCGTCAGTTTACAACGTACCCATTGCATACAATATACAATGAGAAAATGAGAGAAGAGGTTTATGTACAACCAATCGCTGTTGTTGTCTGACACAAGGCTATCATGTTGACACCGTCAGTTTACAACGTACCCATTGCATACAATATACAATGAGAAAATGAGAGAAGAGGTTTATGTACAACCAATCGCTGTTGTTGTCTGACACTAGGCTATCATGTTGACGCCGACCCGTTGCATACAGCATACAATGAGAAAATGAGAGAAGAGGTTTATATATTTAATATGAAAATGAAGGTGGCCATTATCGAGTTAGTGATTATCTTCAATATTTTGAAAACTAAGCACAGAAACATCATAATATTGGTGTCTAAACCCAGGTTTTCAGGGTCAGGGAAAATGAGGGCAGCCATTATCGAAATAGAGATTACCTTCAATATTTTGTAGACTTAGTACACTAGCGTTACAATATTGGTGTCTAAACCCAGGATTTCAGGGTCAGGGAATAAGATGTATTTATAAAAATCAAGATTAGAACCACAGGCTGGTATCGAAAAATTTGTCCGCTGTGACGGAGCGTGCTATTTTGCATAGAAACACTAGGAAATCCACACAATTTTTTTTACTCATATGTTTCGCTATATCAAAGAAAATTACCTACCACATGCAATGGATATATCATTTGCGGGTAACTTTAACTTCAGAAAAGCTATTGAAAACGGAGTATCATACTCCAAGATGTATCATTTCTTTTATTTCTTTTTAATGGTACAATATAGTGACACGATAATATTTACATTTGTTTTCAGCATAACTCTGAACTCTGAGCCATTCCGTGGTGGCTGGCCATACAGTGCTGGTAAAACATGATACCCTGTTTCCTTCAGATCTTTAGTTGAATCCTAAATTTCACTTAGTACCTCATGTACAATTGTACATGCAAATCCAGGAAAGACATATGCATTGAGACCATTTACGAGCTTTAATGTTTCCTTTGCAGAAATGGATAGGACATGGAATCACACCTACCTAGTGCATTCAATCCAAAATCGTTTATCTTTAAACATTATCTTATTCATTTTCCATGAAAACTTGATTTGGGGCACAACAACTGCAACCCTTTCATTCTTACTTTTGAAGATATGGAAGATATTCAATATTTCAATAATGGCCACTCATATTTGCATACATACTTTTCCCCCAAAGTTATTTTCGGCAACCTAACTAAATTACTAAGGGAACACTCAATTAGTCTACTTATTTCAGTGGTACTGCAAGCCTGATGAATAAAATATTTTGAATAATTGCAATATTATGATTATAAAATATGCTAATCTGCATATATGCATGTATGCTAATGGGTTATTCTCGTATCTTTTAATATAATCTGATTCCTTGACCCTTAAAACATAGGTAAGGATACAACAATTGTGATGCTATCATTCTTACTTTTTAAGATATGGATGGAATTCGATATTGTAATAATGGCCGCCCTAATTTGCATATACAATCTTTTATAGTTATTTTTGGCAACCCATTTAAACCACTAAGGAAACCATGAATTAGTCAGTAATTTCAATTGTACTGCAAGCCTGGTAAACAAAATATTTTGATATGCACAATATCTGATGAGTTCTTCTCATATCTTTTAATATAATCTGATTCCTTGACCCTTAAAACATAGGTAAGGATACAACAATTGTGATGCTATCATTCTTACTTTTTAAGATATGGATGGAATTCGATATTTTAATTATGGCCGCACTAATTTGCATATATAATTTTATATGATAGAATGAAGTCCGGTAACTTAGAAAAAAAATTCTAAATATTTCTCATGTCAGGGGCTTTGATCAATGATATTTTATGTTTACTCAACTTTCATATTTTTGTAACTTGTAACATGTTATTTCTGGCTTCATAAATAAGTTTTCATATTAAAAATGAGACGGAGGGGGAGGGTAATATGTCTATTTATGTTTAGATTAATAAAAGATGAGTGGCATAAGACATCTTTCAAGCCTCAGTCACAGTTGCTACGACGTTTTTATAGACCGTAAGAGTCGTCGTAGAAATTATAATTTGGAGTTCTAAGATACGTCGGACATAAATTGACTTGCGTCTGCCCTAGGTTTTTATTGGTTTCAATTGGCCTTTGTGAACTGCAATTACAATTGAATCGACCGTGGTAGCATTGCTTGCGGGCTCCTTGTGTTTGCCTTGGTATCGGTCAATAAAATACGCCTTACGGAGGGATGCCCTACGATGGCCATGCGCCATCATCTAAAAGGAAGTACGGCAACCGTGTATCTCCACAAAATCAAAAGTATATGACGGTAGAAATTCTACGGTGACCGCAGGATTGTTACTGGCCGTAGAAATGATAGATTTTACGGTCGATGTAGCAAATTTGACTAAGGCTTTAAATACTATTTTTAGGGAATTAGGGAATTGCAATTTGGAATTTTAGGGAATCGCAATTTCAATGACTTTTCACAAATTACCTATTTCATAGTAAGAAACACTTTGAACGTCAATAACAAAATCACTCACTGGAATCTTAGACTCTAACAGTGTGCACGATTTATCAGATTTGTTAAATATAAAAGCTTCGCAGCTACAATTTGGAACTTTCAAACATTTCGTTGCACATTCTAACTTTGACCGAGTGGTGAATTCTCCACCAATGGCATTTGTGAGATTATTCACCGCTTTATTTTCCATCTTTAAAGCATATGACAGAGTATCTATGTTTTGCTGGACGCAAGGCTGCTCGGTGGTTGGTTCGGTTGCTTGCACAGTTGTTGGCTCGGTTGTTTGCACAGTTGTTGGCCCGGTTGTTTGTACAGTTGTTGGCTCGGTTGTTTGTACAGTTGTTGGCTCGGTGGTTTGCACAGTTGTTGGCTCGGTTGTTTGTACAGTTGTTTCATCATGAACTGCCAATATATAAATAAAACACATATAGTCGATACAGTTTCATTTTCGCTGAATGAAGCTTTCAATAGATACGTTTATTTCTCATCGCTCAACTATGGATATATTAATTGAGCTTACAGAGGTATACCATAAAGATACACACATTTTATCTATGTCTAACTATATACACTATACAGAGATATGCAATGATACAAAGAAGTATAACCATCTTATCTATTTTTAACTTTGTACATGCAAGAATACAAAAAAGGTAGAAGAGATAATATAAAGATGCAGTTAGATAATTTTCTGAATACAATTTGTATACATGTACTATATTGAAACCAAATATAGTAACCATAGAAATATTGTATCACATTGGCCTGTGTCATATATTTTATATTATTATGTGAAACCAAAGATTTGTGTAACTAAATGAATAAACACAAGGAGCACACACGTCTCGAACTCGCGACCTCGTGGTTACGGCGCCCAATCGCCTAGATAGGTAATATAGATTACCCTAAGTTCCAAAGACTGGCTTGCTGAAATGTAGTTTATTTGCTTTTCTTATTCATTTTGGAACATTTAATGATTTTTTCCTCAGTGCTCATGAGTTCACTTTAGTTGCAGAACTGTTTATAAAATTGTAGTCTATGCGGTTCTTTATCTCTTATGCTTCAAGATTTGAATTGTCGATAAAAGGAAACTATGATAGTATTTTAGAATGTATTTAGATCTCAGGCATTTTAAACATTTACATTATATCATTATATACCCCAGATGTATTCTAGATGCTCATTGGTTTATTCATGGTCACATGGTATGAACAGGAAAGATGAAATGTACTAATCGCCAGTTAGGTCATGTGACAAGTCATAAGTACATTCTATCTTCCCTGGTAGCTGTAATTTATCGGAGTTGAATGGCAAAATGCCTTAAAATGGCAACAAGAACCTATAAGCATTAAATGTTGACATTAAAAAACTTCTGATTTTGTTTCTTGTTTACAGAGTGTATTAGGGTGTTTCATTTTTCAAGAATGTTCTCAGATCACAATGGCCCTTTAACACAGGGTTGCAAATGGTGCTGGCAGTTTACTGATTTTTTTCAGCCAAATTGGACAACGTTTAAACTGGTTCGTCAGCCATTCTTTCCGTCCCATTGTATTACATTGCGGGCAACGCCCACTTTTCAATGGAAATCATTGTTTCACAGTTCTTTGCTAATCATTTGCCAGGAATGGTTGGAAGCAATTTTCTTGTTATAAGCATTTGGATGTACATCAAAACACTCTCAATTGACCGTTTTCCATGTAAATGGAAAGATAGATGGCATCATGGGTATTAGTAAGGCTAAATAACATGGCAACTTAATAGCAAGAGTCACTTAATTTCTTTCTATTTGGATCAACTTAAAACACCATTGGAATGTAACTATATGATAGTATTGACATATGGATTGTGATTTCACATTAGAATTGTGATACTTGTAAGAGTAAATGAACTTTTAAAGGTTTTTAAACATTGTGTCAATGGGGATTTAACCCGACCATTTTTAGAAAACTTAAAAATCTCTAAAATTTGAATAAACTAAGGGAGAAACAGTGCAAATCAAAGTTGTTTTTGATAAAAAAAAATTACACACAGAATTCAAATATGCCATCAAATAAAAGAAAATGTTAGTCTTAAGTGGTTAAAATGCAGATCTCCTAGAATCTCATTAAAACGAGACTTTAACGAGATTTCAAAGAATATATAATTTAATTTATTGTCAGAGCAGCCAGTTAAACTAATTTTCAAATTTAATTGTTTATTAAGGACTAAATTTCTAACTGAATCTGAGCTGAAATGCTCAGCCACCCCCTTTAATCTTACCTATCATACAAGCTACATCTTCAACAGTTTTATCGGCGTCCTCGTCTCTCCATCTCATGTTCCCACCATCCACGTAAACTTTGTAACTGCTATCAGGGGAGGAATCCCAATAAGTCCAAGTTAATGGAGATCCATCATGATACCATTGGCCCCAGCTGCCTCCCGATGTCCGTTCCGCACCAATCCAGGCCTTTCTAGAACTCATACTGGAACATTTTGTCAACAATATTCAAAATCATTCAAGACGAGAAAGTCAGGTAGCATTTCATTCTTAAAAGTTTCAACTGTAATTTCGATTTTGTATAATCATGTAAATCATGTCAGTTAGAACATTCTAAATAGGTAGGGATCAAACAGCACTCTCTGGTAAAATTAGTACATTTCCATACACTGTACGAACGTATTTTTGAGGCCATACGGCGACGCGATGGTTAGGCGTGTAAGGTGCGATCACTCAGGATATATTGTAGTTTTTTAATTGGTTTTATATTTAGAATGAGCAATTTTTGGTGAATCATTAGAATAGGGCGGGGAAAGGGGTTTTATAAGAGACACCCCGAATAAACTTTTATCAGTACGAGTTCCTAAATGTCAGTGATTTCTGGACACTTTCAAGTGTTTGATTCATTTTTTTCAATCGTTTTCTTTCTAAAGGAACAAGGAGGGAAAGGGAGAGGGTTGCCATTCCGGAAATCTTTACCAGTTCAAAATGCTGTCTGGTTATTTCTCGGCACTTTAAAAGTTTTTGCTTTTGGGGTTGGGTGCCAGAAAATTTTATGATATGTCATTTGGTGAAATCTGGCCATTTTTAACAAACATAACTTCCAAAAAAGTCCAAAAAAGTTTTTTCAAATTCCTCTTTTTGTGTGTATGGGTAGCCTAAGCCTGGCATTTTGTCAATGCTAGATGGTATTTGGCGATTTCTTTGTGTTTAAGTAAATAAATGGAAAATAATAAACTATTTTTTCAATTGTTTTAGTTTTAGGGGAATGCAAGAAAATTTTACTAATCCAAGATGCCTTTTCTGGACAAAATATTACTTTCTATGGAGTTGGAGCGAGGGGAAGTTGTAACCCCTCTCACTCTCTCTTGGGAAGAATTGGTATCGATATGGCGAACTGAATTATTGCTTAATATTTATTGCTTAAACCAGTCATCAAAAATTCTGAAAATTTGACATCGTCAATTTAATGATCATCTTTTGAATGGTAACAATTAATTTGAAAAATGTACATTATATTTTTCTCTATATTGTTCTATAAAACACACCAGACACTTCTTTTATTCTCGGTACCATATTTTGGGAATGAAATGGAACATCTACTCTAACCTCATTGGGACAAAATGACATATACTCAACGTGTTGAGCTCTCAATATTGTAATTGCACAAAGGAAAGTCTGGTTCATTTAAAGAAGTATCTTGTTAATGAAATAAAAGGTTTACTTTAATTTTATCAGTACGAGTTCCTAAATGTCAGTGATTTCTGGACACTTTCAAGTGTTTGATTCATTTTTTTCAATCGTTTTCTTTCTAAAGGAACAAGGAGGGAAAGGGAGAGGGTTGCCATTCCGGAAATCTTTACCAGTTCAAAATGCTGTCTGGTTATTTCTCGGCACTTTAAAAGTTTTTGCTTTTGGGGTTGGGTGCCAGAAAATTTTATGATATGTCATTTGGTGAAATCTGGCCATTTTTAACAAACACAACTTCCAAAAAAGTCCAAAAAAGTTTTTTCAAATTCCTCTTTTTGTGTGTATGGGTAGCCTAAGCCTGGCATTTTGTCAATGCTAGATGGTATTTGGCGATTTCTTTGTGTTTAAGTAAATAAATGGAAAATAATAAACTATTTTTTCAATTGTTTTAGTTTTAGGGGAATGCAAGAAAATTTTACTAATCCAAGATGCCTTTTCTGGACAAAATATTACTTTCTATGGAGTTGGAGCGAGGGGAAGTTGTAACCCCTCTCACTCTCTCTTGGGAAGAATTGGTATCGATATGGCGAACTGAATTATTGCTTAATATTTATTGCTTAAACCAGTCATCAAAAATTCTGAAAATTTGACATCGTCAATTTAATGATCATCTTTTGAATGGTAACAATTAATTTGAAAAATGTACATTATATTTTTCTCTATATTGTTCTATAAAACACACCAGACACTTCTTTTATTCTCGGTACCATATTTTGGGAATGAAATGGAACATCTACTCTAACCTCATTGGGACAAAATGACATATACTCAACGTGTTGAGCTCTCAATATTGTAATTGCACAAAGGAAAGTCTGGTTCATTTAAAGAAGTATCCTGTTAATGAAATAAAAGGTTTACTTTAATTTTATCAGTACGAGTTCCTAAATGTCAGTGATTTCTGGACACTTTCAAGTGTTTGATTCATTTTTTTCAATCGTTTTCTTTCTAAAGGAACAAGGAGGGAAAGGGAGAGGGTTGCCATTCCGGAAATCTTTACCAGTTCAAAATGCTGTCTGGTTATTTCTCGGCACTTTAAAAGTTTTTGCTTTTGGGGTTGGGTGCCAGAAAATTTTATGATATGTCATTTGGTGAAATCTGGCCATTTTTAACAAACACAACTTCCAAAAAAGTCCAAAAAAGTTTTTTCAAATTCCTCTTTTTGTGTGTATGGGTAGCCTAAGCCTGGCATTTTGTCAATGCTAGATGGTATTTGGCGATTTCTTTGTGTTTAAGTAAATAAATGGAAAATAATAAACTATTTTTTCAATTGTTTTAGTTTTAGGGGAATGCAAGAAAATTTTACTAATCCAAGATGCCTTTTCTGGACAAAATATTACTTTCTATGGAGTTGGAGCGAGGGGAAGTTGTAACCCCTCTCACTCTCTCTTGGGAAGAATTGGTATCGATATGGCGAACTGAATTATTGCTTAATATTTATTGCTTAAACCAGTCATCAAAAATTCTGAAAATTTGACATCGTCAATTTAATGATCATCTTTTGAATGGTAACAATTAATTTGAAAAATGTACATTATATTTTTCTCTATATTGTTCTATAAAACACACCAGACACTTCTTTTATTCTCGGTACCATATTTTGGGAATGAAATGGAACATCTACTCTAACCTCATTGGGACAAAATGACATATACTCAACGTGTTGAGCTCTCAATATTGTAATTGCACAAAGGAAAGTCTGGTTCATTTAAAGAAGTATCTTGTTAATGAAATAAAAGGTTTACTTTAATTTTATCCATTTTTGGGGGTTTTGAATACTTTTTGTTAAATCAACCAAACTTTCCTTTGTGCAATTACAATATTGAGGGATCCAAACACGTTGTGTATATATCATTTTGTTCCAATGAGGTTCGGATAGATGTTTCATTTTATTCTCAAGAGTTGGTAGAAAGGAACCCAAAAAATTGCACTAAAAACAAAAAATGTTCACAAAAACAATTAAATAAAATATATCTATTTTTTTGCATGTAATTGTTACATGTTTTCCCATGTTGACCATTACATAATTTTTTCAATAATTGGTTTGAGACAAAAACAATGTTGAATTCAGTCGCCATATCGATACCAATCCTTTATGATATTCATGCTGACTCAAGGAGGATTGGGTCCCAGGATCGACACTCGATATTTTCCAACAATGAAAACGTCGAAATATCGTTATTTTCTGAAATTAAAACCGGCTATAAATTCAAAATAAACAATTCAAAAGATTCGAACTAATATTTCGATCATATCTTGTGAGTTTTGGAATTTTTCGTTAGGAAATAAGACCAAAATTCATGATTTAAATGTTGAAGGGAACAAAATGGCGGCTGTTTGAATTCAAATTTTGTATCACGACATGCCCATATATGGGACAGAATATCAATGTTGCACTCTGGGATCCAATCCTCCTTGTGCTGACTGCACAATTCATGAAAACTTTCATCCATTGACGTCATTGATTTTACTCATTTGAATACGGCCAATCAGCGCCGCGGTAATTATCGATTTTCCTTACTTTGTGGAAAGACTAGCCCCAAGTAAACATTGATTTCTTGAGCAATAGTATTATTGCACAAACAAACATATTTCCTTATCATATGCTACTACCCCTCGTCCTGGAATTGGATAACATATTTCCCACCATTTCCATTTTTAAAACAAGGTTATTAGCTTTTCTCTAATGTCCAAAGTGTACTCATTGCACTGATTGGTCGATAAAAATCGATGACGTCAAAGTCACACCGGAATAGCCTGACAACGGTAGTCAGATACCGTTGTCACAAATTGCGGACATAACTGTCGCTTCAACTCTTTAATCACTTGGTCTTTATTTCATGGAATTTTATCGTCGCTAATTCTGTGCATGTATTAAGCTCTTGTGATGATGTGAAATCCCAATTTCGATCAAATTGGGTCGTGAATCGCCACAATATAGCGTCTTCAATATCGCCAATCACAACGGAATCTGAATTTGAAATGATTTACAAAGACAACGACATATAGTAATACAGTGTCCGTTGTTCCGTATCTCGTTTTGATCGGTTAAAGGACCATATGCATATTCCATTGGGATATCCCCATGAGAAAAAAAAATTCATCTGATTTTTCAAATTGAGTATTCTGCTTTAATTATTACATTTATATGCACACTAGTATCTTGTTGACCTATATTCAGCACTGTATTGATGTATAGGCCACTTATTAGGGTCAAATTTCAATCATGAAATGTAGAGGCATAGATTCCAAACCAGGAAGTATTTTTGTGTCTGTCAAAATCCATTTGCATCCTACGCATCCCTACATCTTATCCAAATATGTTACTACATAATGAAATATAATAGTATATTCTTTGGTTTTACAAAGTTGTATAACTTTTGATAAGTGTAAAAGTTGTTTTTGGAGCATTTTTCTATAGCCATTTTGTAGGGAAAAAATGATGAAATAATGTACAATCTTTTAATTTTAAGTATGACCTGAATCGATTGCAAACTTCATATTTGCACATGTGATGAGATAAACCATTTGTGTCATATTGTGGAATTATTAAGTTTGCAATCGATTCAGGCCATAGTGTATTTTTGGTATTTTTGTAATAATCAATGGAAACAAATGGCCTCTCTTGGGATATGCTGATATCCTCATGTTAAGTCAATGATGCACAGCCCCATGTAAGTCAATACAACCTTACTGAACTAAATGGCCCCTATCTCAACCTATGTGTGCCCGAGCACTTTAATATTTTCCAAAGAGTTATATGACATTCTATTCTTCATGTTACACCTAAGAATTATTCATTTTGACCATAGAGGTATTTGCCAACAAATGCACTTCTTCCTTTAAGGCCTTATCTCGATGGTAGAACATTATTAACTGTACAATGAGTATTTGATTGATTGATGTTCCAAAGGAATTTAGTCGAGGTGCTCTATTAAACTAACAGTGCATGAAAATCTAATTGAAGTGACGGTTATGTCCGCCATTTTTGACAACGGTATCTGACTTAACCATTGTCAGGCTATTCCGGTGTGAAAGTGAGGCACATTTCGTGTCAAAACCTTTTTACGGGATAGATCGCCTTATAAGTAAAATAGGTCGTATATGCATTGGGGATGTAGATGGGGGGGAGGGGCTGCGTTAGATGCGACCGCACCCCCTTCTGGCACCCCAAGATTTTTATGTTCTCATGGCTAGGATGAAGAAAAGGTTTTCAAATATTCATATTTTGCCTTTGCTCTAAGTCGAGTCGACCTTTCATTTAAATTGATATTTACATATTAATATTGGCAAGTTCAAATATTGAAATTGAAGTTACATATACCTATTTGCATTGAAGATCACCTGCAGAGATGCGCTGTCAACTGCATTGTCCACTTTAGCAAGAACACCACCAAATTCTGATGAACAGCGGGAAATTGCCTCTGGTCTGGTTAGATCACCGTGTTTGTAAAGTTTATACTCATCTGAAAATTGCAAAATTTGTGGAGTTGTTAAATTCAAAAAAGTAATTTCTTTAAGACGTTCGTTAACTAATTTTTGAACACAATGACATCAACCAATTACTCGACCTTTCACACTATCACGCCCGGTAATCGTACAAAATGAATGGAGGGGGATTAGTCCAAAAATTTGGAAGATTTATTTTTTCAAGATAAAATTTACAACTGAATTGCCAAATGAATATAGGCGTGAATAGGCGTAGTGCATGGCAAAATATGTTAGGCCATCTAGTATTTTTTTAACTGATACCCGTCTAAGATATGAGATCTATTAAAAAAGGCGCATCATCTTCAACGTGCAAAAGTCAATGTTTTCGCTATAAATCGGGCAACAATGGTCTACACGACCTGTAATAAATAGGTATAAGGGACGTTATTATCACAATACTAATGACATTGCTCACTTTTTAAAGTTAGTTTCTATGCGTTATACAAAAAAATAATCGAAATAAATTAATATTGGATGGAGGGGGAGTGGATTCATTATTCACCAAATGAATTTGAACTACATTTCTTTGCTGTTGGTCTCCTAAAGAGTCAACAGATCATTCCAATGAGAATGCAACCATTACATTCTATGGAGGGCAATAGCAGCTCAAAGGGAGAGGGAATCCACGAGGGAGATCGTGAACATGTCTCTCAGATGTCTGCAAAACAATATATTCAACTCTTTTTACTTTTGTAGAAATGATTTTAATTTTATTTGTCTCCCCTCCCCAAGAATTTTCCATTCCAAAGCTATTTTTAGTCATTGCCCCATCTAAATATGCATGTAATTTACAGAATAGTGAACATTTATGCACCAACATATTACAGAATAAGTTGAATTGTAACAAACAAGTGGCCTCAGAGTAAATTGCAATGCAATAACTAGTTTTTTAGAAAAATGTTCTGTCATCTCAGATGGTTTTATTTATTTTGAAATATTCTTTATCAGTAAATATATATATATAGAAGAAAAAATTTGATTCTATACCAAATATTCCATTCTATTAATTGAGGTGAATACATATAGGTTATTCACTGGGAGGGATTGAATATGGGTTTTATTCCGAGGGACAATATGATATTGACCGAAGGGTAATATGATATTGACCGAGGGAGCGCAGCGACCGAGTGTCAATATCATATAGCCCAAGGTCAATATCATATTTTCCGAGGAATGAAACCCATATTCAATCCCGACCAGAAATAACCTATTTATTCCATAATACACCCCTCTAAAATGCTACATTTGGATAATGCAAATAACCGAGAAAAAATAATCGGGAAACCGGAAATAGGTTAAAATGCTCCAATACGATTTCTATCCCGGGGACAATACGATTTTTTCATGTAATACGCTCCAATACGATTTTTTCCCGGGGACAATACGATTTTTTCATGTAATACAATTCAATACGATTTTTGTTCCTTCATATTTCCCTGGGAAAACAGTAGTATTATGGAATAAATGTTCATCTTTCCCTCAGGGTGTGAGTACCGTAATCCAACACCAAATTCGAAAATTTAGAACAATACTTTGCACATATGGCGTTCGTGATCAACTATAAATCGCTTACCCCCCATAGTGTTATATATCAAAATGTACCTGTTCATATAGGGATAATAAGATCATATAATGGTTGATTCTGTATATCGTTATACTCTCGTGAGTATACTCGTTCCCTTCAGTCACTCGTGAATATATCATATACTCACATTTAGTGCAATATATGTATTTATTGTAATATTTGTCTTCAACCATATGCATTGTGCATTTCACATTTAGTGCAATATTCATATTTATCCCATGGTTGCAAGGATATAGATCAAATATCACATGAAGATACTGTATATTTGATATGTGGATCAAGATATCATATTTTAGCAAAAAATTCACAAACCATCGGATATCACTTTAAAACTATCGAATATCACGTCTTCAAAAGTGATATTCGATGGTTTGAAAAGTGATATTCGATGGTTTGAAAAGTAATATTCGATGGTTTCGAATTTTTTCAAAAAAAACTATTTTTACATTTTTTAATTATTTTCAAAAATATTTTTTAAAAATTTTAACATTTCAAAAAGATTTTTTAACATTTTTTCGCAATCTTTTTCAATTAATTTTTCAAATTTTTTCTCAAATGATATTTTTTCAAATTATACTTTTTTCGCTGATGATGATTTCCCATGGGATAAACGGACAATCCTATGGTTTTTCAAAAATATCAATTATATCCACTCATGGATACAAATATCCTCACTCATTCGCTGCGCTCACTCATGAAGATATCCACTCATGGATATAAATGATATTTGTTCAAAACCATGGGATATTCCTATTATTTCCTATGATTCTGATCATGACTTCAACTATGGAATAAAAAGAACATCCTATGATTTACTCGTCCTATGATTTTAATCCACTCATGGATATTGATATCTGCACTCTCTCGCTACGCTCCTGCAGATATCATATCCATTCTTGGATTAAAATCATATCACTCATAAATCATAGGATATCCTCTATTTATTCCATAATACTACTGTTTTCCCTGGGAAATAAAATCATTTTATCCCTCTTAAAATCATATTGTCCCTGAAAAAAAATATATTCTCGAAAAATCATATCATACCTGTTTTAAAAGTTTTCCCTTTTTTCAAAAATTTTCAATTTTTCAAAGATTTTCATTTATTCAAATATGATTTTTTGCATTTTTTCAATTTTTTTTATTTTTTTCCAAAAAATTCATTTTTTCTTTTGGGTTTAAAAATAATTTTCATTTTTCTTGAATTCTCAAAAATGAAATAATGAAAAGGTCATTTCATGGTTGATTTTCAATATGGATTTTATTCCACGGGAAATATGATTCCATGAACTGTTTATTTATGCTAAACTGATTAATCAGCCAATACTCAGCCAATATCCAAAATTCTTAAATTGTATTATGGCGATGGGTGTTTTCGAGGAGGTTTATTTTGCAAAATTATAATTCAATCAGTTTTTTAGGTCATAATTGTGTTTTGTCTCCCCTCAACCTATATTTATATTAAATTTCTTCTTCGACCTTTCCAGTTCTAGGAAAAATATGTAAAAAAGTAAAATCACACCAAAGAATTAGCTGGAAACCGAAAATCACCTTTTAAACGTACTTTTGTCTATTTCAAAAAATGGCACTTCTTAAGTAAGTATTTGTGGAATCTCGCATCCGTGTAACAACTTGCTCAGCGCCGCTAAATAAAGTTTTGATGATAACTACAGTATTATGTCTGATCGAGTCAAGCAGTTCTATCTGTCTATAAATTGTCCGCATCTAAATTCAAGACTGTTATATACTATATCAAAGTTGATGATTTTACCATATCAGGAAATAAAATCGTTCAGAAAATACTCATTTTTAAAACGAAAATATGACGGTTCCATTTAAAGCGATGTATATACTTACATTGGCACTGATCTCCCGCAAATGGACTTGTACAGCAGTTTGCAGATAAAGCAAAACTTCCAAGCAGCATAGTTATCAAAACTTCATCCATTTTGTTTATCTTAAGTTTCAAGTGTAGCATTATATATTGTCTGTGTTGTTTCTGATTTTTTTTCAATAAGCCATCGTCTTATATAAAATTGTTCTCACGCTGCAGTTCGAAAAACTGAATGAATGGAATCTATAGTCAGTTTAAAACGTAGCGTAGCAATGGTTACGTGTTTAAAGTGTTATATTTACGTATACACAGTTACAAAAGGGTTCGAGGAGAGAAGCAACGACCCCCGACGGAATATAATTAATTACAAATAATGTTTTCTAAAGTAAATAAATGTTGTATGGCGCCTATAGACAATATGGAATTCTTAATTGATTTGATCCAACAATAGCCAACTTACTGTAGGAATCATATACTGGTGTAAAGACTGACCATCGACCCCCTACCGCCACCGATCGACTAATAAATCTAAAACCAATGTATCGTCATTTTTTTAAAGCCGTCAAAAACGATTTTTACGCCGTTGAAAACGATTTTGTACGCCGTTAAAAATCATTTAATTGAAAGGCCTCAAAAATATTCAGTTATGTATTTCATGACAGTAAAATATGAACTTTTGTTTTTAAAATGGCGGGAAATTCAGATATTCAAAAAATCTAAACTGGTACTAAAACCCCGAGAACAGGCCTCGCAAGGTACCACCTTCGTTTGGGCAAATTCTCACCAGTTTAGTTGATAAACACATCGTTTTGATGTTTTAATTGATGTAAGCATATTCCTTACATCTTTCTTTATCTGATATGGAATAACAAGCTATGATATTGGTTAACACGCCAGAAATTAACATAACATTATTGAAGCGTTATTAGAAAATTTTGAATCCGCCATTTTGTTTGTCGATTTGGACCAATCAGGACTGTGTGTCATCTCAATACAGATTTACATTATAGACGTAGGTCTTCTTTGGAGCCTGGGGTTTCCCCCTCTTGGTCTAAATGCCCTTTGGGTTATATATGGTCACATGATATAAAATAGCCCTAAATCGCTGCTAAAAGAAACAAGTTTCGTAATGTGATCAATCAATAGTACTTTTATCTTTCTAGGATGTCAATAAAAGTCTATCGGCATTAAAAGTAAACTTCTTTTGTTTATCTTTAGAAAGTGCAGCTGGACTGTCACGTGATAAGTCAATGGTACTAGAATAATACTTTTTATCTTTCTACCTAGAAGGGATTATAGGAGTTTGAATATGTATTTTCACTAAAAAGCTGTTGGCATTAAAAGTAATTTTTTTACAAAGTACAAAGAGGAATACAATAAATCTAGAATATATATACTAGGTCGTTCAATAAATTCACGGAAAAATGCTCTCATTTCAAAGAATCTTGATATCTTCCCATAACATTTTCACACAGTGTGCAAAGAATACTTTCTGATTGATTTTTAAAATATCAGCATATCTTATTTGATTGGTCAAAAATAAGGGTTACTATGGTAACTTGACTTTTGGGTAGGCGGGGCACTTTTTACGTCACACAATTTACCATTACAGAAATCTATCAATATGTGCAAATGAAGGATCCCTATTTTTTATTTTTTCTTATATAAATTAAAAATGTTCTGAGGGAAAATTTATTTTCATTGTTATCGCGAACATTTCTGAAATGGTACTAGTCAATGCTGTATCAGTGGACCAGAAAATCAACAAAGAGTAATGCTATGGTAAGCCAAACCCTAAATTTCTCCATCGGGATAATGCAGCCGATCACACTGCTAATAATGTGCAGGAAACCATCACAAATGACTGGCAAAATGGCAAAGCTGCCCCAAGTTACAAACTCTCCAGATGAGACAATCCTTGATATTGCTTTTACAAAAGGATGAAGGATCAGCTAAGACGTGCACTTTGTGGAACAAGGAAACTACTTTCGACTGCAGTCAAGATTGCCATTCAAACAAGTTTTCCAAATGGCTTCAGAGCACTGTATCGTCAATGGGTTGAATGCAAGCAACTGTGCATTAAACATGAGGGAGAATACTTCTGAAACCGTATGGGACAATAGTTGTAACTATTACATTAAGTTATATCATGTACAAATAGAAAGCGGACAACGAAATTCATGTGATATGTATACTCAATAATTGCTTAAAATTCTGTTGTTTTTCTAATAAATGTGACGTAAAAAGTGCCCCGCCTACCCAAAAGTCAAGTTACCATAGTAACCCTTATTTTTGACCAATCAAATATGAGATGCTGATATCTTAAGAATCAATCAGAAAGTATTTTTTATACATTGTGTGAAAATTTCATGAGAAAATATTAAAAATCTTTAAAATGAGAGCATTTTTCCGTGAACTTATTGAACGACCTGGTAGAATAAAATATTTTCCCTCTGGACTAAAGTATCACGTCCACTGCATGTTCACTGACACTGACACTTGTGATATGATAAAATATAAGGATAAGCAATATGATCATCACGCCTAACCATCAACAAGGTACAGTGATAAAATATACCGTAGTACACTTTAGATGTACGATGTCACTATTTAACCGATTTTGAAGCAAAGACAATGATGTAGGTTAGATGTAGGTTTTAAAAAAATAATCTGAGGAATGCATTAAGGATTTCATGTTTGATTTTTGCGTATTCGTTTAGGAAGACATTTAACTTTCTAATAACGTTAAAAGATTTTCGAACAGTGCTCGATTTCTTTCGTAGTCAATCTACCCATATAATTGGTCGGTTGGAAAATGTTGTGTTTTTACACATTTCCTTTGATCATTTCCTCCCCTGTCGTCTAAGAGTGCCGAAGATTTTTATGAGAATATGTTTCTTTAAACAGCACAATTAAGGTCTGGTTGGAGATTTAATAAGTATTAACATTTTGGCTATAATTCAAAATATCATAAGTGTACGTTGTCAACTCGAATGTACGTTGTCTCATTGAACTTACTCAATTCACAGTTAACCCTAATACAGACAACGCATTTTTCATAACACTAACAGACAGGGGGGTCAGATGCATTTAAAATTGAAACAGAACAATTACAGAATTACTTCAATTTGATTGAACTATTGAAACTTTCCAGATATATCGTGAACGGGATTTTAAAAAGTCATATTCAACAAGGCATTAACATGACAAAATGTCACCACCTAAAACAATTTGGTCAATTTAAAGCAAGTTGGAAAATACCTTTTGACCTTAAGAAGGTTTGATTTGAACTTCTTAGAACATGTAGATGATTTTGAAAAAAAAATTCGTCAATTTGAAGCAAGTTGAAAAAATACCTCTTTGACTTTTTTTGACATTGAGAAGGTCATTGAAGGTCAAATGTAAAGTCAGATTTGAACTTCTGAGAACATGTAGATGATTTTGAAAAAAAATTAGTCAATTTGAAGCAAGTTGAAAAAAGACCTTTTTGACCTTGAGAAGGTCATTGAAGGTCAAAGGTCAAATCTAAAGTCAAATTTGAACTTCTGAAAAGATGTAGATGATTTTGAAAAAAAAATTTGGTCAATTTGAAGCAAGTTGAAAACAGACCTTTTTGACCTTTTTTTACTTTGAGAAGGTCATTAAAGGTCAAATGTCAAATCTAAAGTCAGATTTGAAGTTCTGAGAACATGTAGATGATTTTGAAAAAAAATTAGTCAATTTGAAGCAAGTTGAAAAAAGACCTTTTTGACCTTTTTTGACCTTGAGAAGGTCATTGAAGGTCAAATGTCAAATCTAAAGTCATATTTGAATTTCTGAGAACATGTAGATGATTTTGAAAAATTTTTTAGTCAATTTGAAGCAAGATGAAAAAATACCTTTTTGACCTTTTTTGACATTGAGAAGGTCATTGAAGGTCAAATGTCAAATCTAAAGTCAGATTTGAATTCCTGAGAACACGTAGATGATTTTGAAAAAAATTTTTAGTCAATTTGAAGCAAGTTGAAAAAAGACCTTTTTGACCTTTTTTGACTTTGAGAAGGTCATTGAAGGTCAAATGTCAAATCTTAAGTCAAATCTAAAGTCAGATTTGAATTCCTGAGAACACGTAGATGATTTTGAAATTTTTTTTAGTCAATTTGAAGCAAGTTGAAAACAGACCTTTTTTGACCTTGAGAAGGTCATTGAAGGTCAAATGTCAAATTTTAAGTCAAATCTTAAGTCAGATTTGAATTTCTGAGAACACGTAGATGATTTTGAAAAAAAATTTAGTCAATTTGAAGCAAGTTGAAAACAGACCTTTTTGACCTTTTTTGACCTTGAGAAGGTCATTAAAGGTCAAATGTCAAATCTAAAGTCAGATTTGAATTTCTGAGAACATGTAGATGGTTTTGAAAAAAAGAATTAGTCAATTTGAAGCAAGTTGAAAAAAGACCTTTTTGACTTTTTTTGACCTTGAGAAGGTCATTGAAGGTCAAATCTTAAGTCAAATCTAAAGTCATATTTGAATTTCTGAGAACATGTAGATGATTTTGAAAAAAAAATTTAGTCAATTTGAAGCAAGATGAAAAAATACCTTTTTGACCTTTTTTGACATTGAGAAGGTCATTGAAGGTCAAATGTCAAATCTAAAGTCAGATTTGAATTTCTGAGAACATGTAGATGATTTTGAAAAAAAAATTTAGTCAATTTGAAGCAAGTTGAAAACAGACCTTTTTGACCTTTTTTGACCTTGAGAAGGTCATTGAAGGTCAAATGTCAAATCTAAAGTCAGATTTGAAGGTCAAATGTCAAATCTAAAGTCAAATCTAAAGTCAGATTTGAATTTCTGAGAACATGTAGATGATTTTGAAAAAAAATTTAGTCAATGTGAAGCAAGTTGAAAAAAGACCTTTTTGACCTTGAGAAGGTCATTGAAGGTCAAATGTCAAATCTAAAGTCAGATTTGAACTTCTGAGAACATGTAGATGATTTAGAAAAAAATTGAAGTCAGTCTAAACAGTATTTGTTAAGTTATAGGAAGTTGTAAGAAATTGTTACAGACGCCGGACGCCAACCGCCGGACGCCAACCTCCAACCGCCGGACGCCGTCGCAAAAAAACGGAGACCATAAC